ACCCTCAAAAAAAAATTGTTTACAAAAACTGTTCGAAGTTATTTCAAGTGGTTGTGGGGTCCGCATTTACAATGTAAGTATTGATTTATTTATAAACGCAGTGTATTAGTATTATACATTGAAATAATCCTCATGAATATTTCTTTCATGATTTCATCAAATTATATGAATCAAAAGTCTAAAAGAATATTATTTCGGGTGATAAAATGAACACTTAAAAATCTACCCTCATTGTGCCGGTTTTCATAATTAAAATTGTCTTATATATTATATATTGTAGTAAAATATTCCTAGTAATTGTAAAAACAGTTCATTATTAACATTTAAAAACACTAAAAACGAAAGGATTGTTACGCAAACACTTATTATTTTACGATTTTTTAAAATTGTTTTCCGCAGTTTTTAACGTTTTTTGTATGGGCTGATGACGTCACACGAACGTCACGAAAAAGTATCAAAGTAAGGTTACATACAAACTGTGAACATGAGGGTATTTTCGTATTATCGCGTTTTTTTTTTTAGGTGTGGTACATTCGTTTTATTTATTTTATTATAGGGTATTTTTGTTTTATCTTTTTCTAGGTCTGAAGTCTATGCCAAATACGAACCTTCTTTCACCATGCACTAATGTTTAAAAATAAAATCACATACGTCATTCCAAGCTGTCAAGACGGATCTTTGATTTTTAAGACGTCATCCTCCTAATCGTAATAATACTAATATTTACTGCAAGTTATCAAGACGTGAGAATGATATTGCGAAGACATGGACATGTGAGAGTGTAAGATGAACAAGCTTAAGCTTATCTTTTTCATTTTACGTACTAATCGTAACTAAGCTTAATATTTCAGTTTATTCAAAGAAATATGTAAGTCGTTAAGGCTTTTGGATTTCAAGGAAGAAGCAGCCACATGTTAATATATATGTTATTTAGAAATATAAGAATGTCATGTACCTATTTATGAAACAAAATATTTCTAACTAAATAATAAAAAAATAGATGAATAACCCTGTGTTTATGGCCTTATGGGCGGCCATCTTGCCGTCGCATTGAAAAACAATCGAGTGTCGGATTTCAAGTGGAATAGGGTCTATGTTTATGTTTATTGTATAAAGTTTACACAATGAATGTTTACACTTTTGGTATCAAATTAAAGCTTATATTGTCTAGTTTAGTAAAGAATAAATATCAAATGAGATTTGATACAATTTTATTTGTAAAAACTTGTTTAAAAAAATATTTACGTGAAATTTAACCAATATTCTCAACTTTCATATTTAATTCTTTGTTTTGGATTAATAGTTGTACTTTAATTTACACATATTTTGATTCCTTATAGTTTCAGCTTTATATACGTATTTTTTATTTCGCTTAAGCTGCCGTTATTTGCTAGAAAATATACTTTTAATCAGCCATGACGTAGGCGCTTGACGCAATTAATCACCGATCGGTGGACGTCTATTCAGCTGTCAATAAGGGTTACATGGCAGCGGCTAGGTGTACTTCTAACCTTTTATTGTACCTTGAACATGTTTTGGTGTACCTTTTATAAATAAATAAATAATTACAACAGAATATAATTGTATTTTTTGAACGTAGAATGCAACAGTTGGAGAACAATCTATCAAAATCTGATCTGATAATAAACAAATTTTTCATAATTTCAAATTTTTAACAAGTCTAATATTGTATATTGTTTTTATTTATTTTTTTTATTAAAAAATTTAATTATTCACCCTTAAACTAAAATTAACCTTTTATGAACACGAAAAAATAATTGTTTTATAATTGTTTCATTAATTTGTTTATTTTCCACATTTTATGAAATAAAAACAAAATAATTAATTGATTAACAAATTAAAATTGGAAAAGATGTGCTACTCAATAAGTTTTGAACTTGGGACCACAGTATTTGTTCATCTACCATGACGCTCGGACCAATAGGCTACACGATGTCTGCGGAAGGTGACAAAATTTCGATTATACTTATAATTGTTGTCGTTTATCGATATAAGGAATTTTATCGATAATTTTTGAAATATAGTTTCATTGAGGAATTAATATAACGTTGTAAGTCTTTCAAATTTAAAGGATAAATTAAACATATAAAGTTTAAGAAAATATGTAACAAAAAAGTCGTATTCGTAATTTCTGCCGTGGAGACTATGAAATTGCTTCAAATGTTTATGAGCTATTACTTTAAATCAAAATAAATAATTATTCGTTTACTTATTATTTTGTTGTAAGAAATGTCATTTGCCTTTATTAATTTATTTAACCCTAATATGTATTTTTAATCAATTTTAATCCGTTTCCTGATAATTTAAAATAATTAATAGGAAGATTTTCTAAAATTGTTGATTGCTTTCTCATACTTCATATTTGTTTAGTACTATTACTATAATAATATAAGAGTAAAATACAATCATGGTCTATAAAATATATTATAGGGATCATTTGTGTACATTTTCGATAGATCTTCCATCATACTATCGATAGTATCCTATGGCCCATAGTGATGGGCCATGGTGTAGTGACACACACTAGGTAAATTGAATGACTTGGTCAAACGGCGCGTCGACGAATATCGCGCGCTGCGCCTCGCTAAGCGGGGTTACCCCTACTCCGCTTCCTCATACTTCCAACCTAAATAGTTAAAAATTCACTGCGTACAGCGCTTTAAAAGCTGGATTTGAATTCACACTCAAGTCACTGAAAACAAAAACCTAAAAAATCAGCAGAAAATCATGTTTAAAAAACAGTCAAGCTCCACAAATTGTGACAAATTTCGTATTAACACGTAATAAGGGGATGTTGTGTATAAGAGCGTTTACTGCCAGGCAAAATCATCGATTCTAATCTACTGCCAACAGCTGATGAGTTACAAGCAAGAAATTGAGAAAACAATAGGAATTGATGAACAGAAAATGTGTGGTCTATCATAATGCCATACAACCCACACCTTTGGCCTACACTCTGCAAAAAATTAGTTTTTGTTGAGGAAGAATTAATGCATACACCATATACGCCTACCTAAAAAGCCACGTATCGAAGACCGACTTTATAAATCTATATCGTTATGATATGGAAGGCGGAGAAGACACCCGAGGCGTGGTAGTAGGTATCATTGTACCTATTTACAATAAGGGAAACAAATTTGCCAGAGAGGATAAGAACATAAAACTAGTACTAACCAAGTAATGTTAGGACTTGTAGAAGCAACATTGAAGTTCTTCAAATCAGTCGTCGCCATCCAAATAATATAACAGAACCTTTCGAAATCCACTCGGCTGTCAAGCAAGAAGACGCACTTTCATCCGTTTCATTCGTTTTCAACTTGGTACTTAAAGCTGTTATACGAAAACGTAACATCAATGGACTAATCGACTTTAACACCATCCAATTAGCAGATTATGCGGATGACATCGTTATCACTAGCAGTCGAAAAACAAGTCCGCCGCTACGAAGCCGCTAGTTTTGACTTACAGGTAAATGCAAGCAAAGCTGAATACCTTGCGACTTCAAGACAGCCTAGGCCATTTGAATATATCCTCTTGGGAGACCATACGATAAATGGTGTTGACAGCTTCAAGTATCTGGTATCGTCAATTACCTCCCAGGACAGGACAGGCAAAGAAATAAGAGCATGGATAGTTGCTGGAAATAAATGTCTATACTCGTCCAACCAACTGCTGAGCTCTAAACTTCTTAGCCCAAGATCAAAAGTAGCCATCTATGAAACCATCATCGGACTATGCGATTGTGACCTATGCATGTGAAATCTGGTCCGTAAATTAGAAGCTTGAATAGAAACTTTCATAAAAGCTTGTGTTTAAGAGAAAAGTGTTAAGGAAAATCTACAGGCCAGTGTAAGACTCTAACGGTAGCTACTGCCAGCAAATTAACTATGAACTGTATGCACTTATCGGACACGAGACGATCGTCAGGTTTTGCAAGAGAATGCCAGACACGAAAGCGAAATAATCACAAGGCGGACGCCGCAACAGAAGAGACCGAAAGATAGGCCTAAAAAGCGTTTAATCAACGGTGTGGAAGAAAATTTGAGGAGAATGGGCAAGATCACAAACTGGAGTAGGACAACCAAGTTTCGACATAAATGTTGGGATATTGTAGAAGAGGCCAAGACCCACAAAGGGCTGTAGCGCCAATGGAAGAAAAAGATAATTATTATATGCCTGTTACACCCTCAGATTTCCACCTGTTTCAACCTCTTCAAAATTCTTTGGGTAGTGTTAGTTTCATCAAGAGATGACAGTCAAAATTACTTGTCACAATTTTTTGATTAGAAGTCCCAAAGGATATCCTTGGAACATCATCATCAATTGGACGCTGGACGCATAATGGTGCGAAGAGTTGATATTTCAAAGGTTCTCAAAAGGAATATAATTAATGATACATTCTGCTTATCACATTATTTGGCTTTGCTTTAGTATCTGGTAGTATGATTTTCATTATACATAATTTTAATTGGTAGGTAGGCAATAGGCCATTAAAGTAAATATCACTAGCTAATAATTTGCATACTTTATTTGAATGGCTGTATTGATTTCTAAATTATTTTTTTTGTCTTTATGGAAATATCTTTGTACTTCATTTTTTAATTTATACAATTCTTTCAGATGGATTGATGTGGAAAAGTTACCACATCTACTTTTATTAAAAATTTTATTAGTTACTTTTTTAAAATTTAAGCATAGGCCTCATGACAAGTGTCAGATTTATGTCCCTATAAAATTTATTGATTAGTACATTCACATAGATAAGCTTTGATTTCATTTTATTTATTGTCACACTAATACTATACCATAAATATAATTATCTAAATAAGGATTATCAAGGTATATTTATGATATGAAATATTCATAAAACATTCAACTAAAACTTTTAATAAGAACGATAAATACTTTTTCTAGTCTTATATCCGAGCTCAATAATCTAAAATGCATTAAAATAAATTTATTATAAACAAGTATCTCACCTTACAGACGACACAAACATGCACTAAGGCTTTTTGTGCAGCTTTCTTTTGATCTGTAGCACTATGGCCTTGTTGTTTTTTAAGTTTAGACATCTTTTCTGCAGCCTTTGCTTGAGACTGGATTTTCTGCTGACCTCTGGCCATTCTACAAAATATTTTATAATAAAAAACTAAACGTTTAAACAAAGTTTTACTTTTGATTACATACTTACTGTGTAAACCGATAAAAACACTACAGGCAATGCTAGCTTTACCATATGGTAAGTTAACACAACCTTAATCTTATCAAGTATTATCTTCAATATCAATTAAGCTTCGATTACAAATATTTTACATACCTTTTTTATCCTAAAGCCAAAACGTATGTAACAATTCCAAACTTACAATTTTCTTAAGAATAAATTTATAAGAAAATGAAAGCACTTGTCGAATTGACACTAATGCTACTAGTCCTAACTTTTATTCTACTGTATTATAAAGATAGTAGCAGGAATTAAAGGAAAATGTGAAGAAACGAATTAAATTAAAATCCTACACTAGACACTTTCTAATCTGTGGTGACAGTTACCATAAAGCAGTGTTACCAACTCTCGAAAATATTTGTCCACAAACCCTAAAGTTAAAGTCAAAAACCCCCTTAAACCAGTTAATAAAATAATATAATAAAAAAATATATAAATAATAAATAGCGCAAAGGTTTCCACATGAATGGAATACAGTGAAGCATATTGCAGTGAAATTGTTGGTCTTAAAATGAAATGTCTAAACAAAAATTGTAACGAATTTAATTTTATAAAAATTTGCCTCTTCTGATTTCTTACGACCAATTCTTTTACCGTAATTTCAAAATTGTGATTCATAATGAATGATAAATAAATTTATTACTTTTGGCACTTTCTTCAAAATTTACATGGGTCAAGGATAGTGGCGAGTAGCGAGTACAAGTACAGTGGTCTGTGGCGGGCACTGGACAAGTGGCTGCTTACAGTTCTCTGTCAAAATGGAAGAGCAATACGTGCAAATTCGTTGCCTTACCGGCCACTATAATAATTTGACTTTTTACAATACGATTCTATTGCATATTTGAATGGCAGCTTGCAAGCCAAGTTGACCCGCGAAGGTCCGATGGTTTATACTACTCTACTTAGGGGCCGTCCATTAATCACGTGAGGTTTTTTTAGCATTTTTAATACCCCTCCTCACCTTTGGTGATACGTGGAGAGGTTTAAGACTACAACAAAAATCACGTGATATTTTCCTCCCCCCCCCCCCCCCCCCCTCTCCCTGATGATATTTCGTGATTTTTGTATGTAAAAATTTATACTTCTCTATCGCAACAAAAGAAAAATAACTAAAAATGTTATCTCCTGTGCCAGTACTTGTTTGTAAAAAAGACAGTAAATACATTATGCAATCGCTAACGGTTTAATTAGATAACTTAATACCGTGAAATTATTCGCTTTGCAACCAACTTCATCGTGTCACTTTTTGGCTGTCTCTGTGCATGCGCGTCGTTTAAAGTTTAGTCTATTTTTTTTCAAATGCGCCAAAAGAAGTATAAACTTCAATAATAATAACTAGTGATATAAAATTATATCATGCACATTACTATGTCTTGAAAATTTATCCGTATATTTATGGAAAAACATAACATTTTCAACTATATACAGTTAATATCTATAACTCTATAATAATACAGACAGATTATTAGCACTATAGACAATAAGACGAAGTTCATAGTTGCGCGCCTGGCATCTCTTTTTCCACCATAGAGTCGTCAGAGTCCTTAAGCCGGTAGGAAGTGTCGATGGACACTTCCAAACCTGCCGACTACACTTTGAGACGAGGCAAGATGCCTATGCTTGCGCAAGATTGCCAATTTATGGCGGCGAGGGACGTAACTGCGACATCCATCCCATTGTGTGGAGTACCTGGGCCATCAAGCAACTGCCTCATGATGAACATGATGCGAATTACTACAAACACCTCAAACACCGCATGGCAGGCGGCCATTAGTAATAGCAAAGAGGAGTACTTCAGTCTTTCTTCTGCGAGGCCGTCTTTGATCCTATCCCTCTCTTAAAGTCTCTGATGCCCACGCCAGCCAGAAGGTCAACTTGGGCGAAAACGCTGCACGCGTAACGCCCTTAGGTCGTGTTAAGCTCTCATTTGTTAATCAAATTGGCATCTATCGTTAGCAAGCGTCGCGATAGCGCGACAGAAGGGGTCGTGCACCAGTCACAATCTTTCCTTTCTCCTGACTAGGTACTTATTTCTGACTTCTGGCAAAGATGTCAAAGCCGCCAGAATAGAGAATAACATAAAATTACACTATCGCAAAAAAAGATTATTATTGATTATTGACCTTTACAATACTTATATTATTGTTTGTTATATATACCATTTTTTTTTCAATCTGCTTTTCTATAATGATGAACTTGAACTTTCTATGTGCCTAGTTATGCCTTAGCTACATAGTTAAGGATATATGAAACAATTGTTGGAATGAATGTTTTTTTTTTTATTCGTATTTCGACGTATGATAATACTTTTTAGAATGTTATTTATTCTGTGACTGTGATTGAGGGAGGTTGACAAATTGACTGATTGTTAAACGTAGTGATTAGTGATTCTGATTACATTCTCTCTGGATTGTTTTGTTAATATATATATATATATAGGCATTAGGCATTGGGCAGGCTCAGGCATGGAATCTTAGAACAAAAAATTACACCGTATTGAGACCATAAACAAACGGTAGTATTCTAGAATATGACATTTCTTTTTTTTTTTACTTAATGTACTAAGGCTACTCGAACAATATTAAGACGATGATAAATAAAAAAAAAATATTTATTATTACTTATTAATGTTCACTCGGAGAATGTTAATTGTGAAGAAACTTCAGGAGAAATAATATTAAAATTTAAAAAAAACTTTTTAAACCTAAACCAAAGTAAAAATCAATCGGCTAAACAGAATAGCTTATCGTACACTCTCGTGCATTCAATGCGGGATGAGTTGTGAAAAAATGTTTGAGTAGATTCAGCTGTCTGAAATGTAAAAACTGTTTGTCCCAAAATAATGTATCTTCTATCCACAAATGGATTTCTCTCAGAGAATATAAAGAACTTAAAAATAAACAAAAACTAACCTATCCCTCAGAATTTGCTGTTACGCTTTTTTCTTATATTGTCAAAGAGACAAACGAATATTTAGAATTGAACATAAATGCGAACGAAATTTCAAAAGAAGTACTAATAAAATAAAATTTAAATATTCATTTGATTTCTTATCATCTGAACATTACAAAGAGACTCTGCTTCGTTATTTTGTTTCCATCACAATCAAATTATCTGAGATTAACTGGTGTAGTATCAAAAATAAAATTTTTAAAGTAATTGATTTAATGCGCCTCAACGATCGTTTACCGCCTATGCAACGTAAAGCACTTGAAAAATATAGAAAATAGTTAAAAAAGAAAAGATTGAATAAATAGTATAAATGCAGTTTTATTTTAAAATCCTAATGACAATCATCATTATTTTTATTTGGGACGCAACTTGTGTAGACACTTTGGCTGCCTCTCATTTAAGGGGTACTTCGGTCAGGGCCAGGGCGGCATCGGAGGCAGCTGAAGTAAGTAAGCGGCGCAAATATGAGTCTTTATGTTTACATATGTATTTGTGCCATTTGCTGTTGAAACTTTAGGTCCGTGGGGTCTCCGCACATCAAATTTTTTTAAAAGTTTATGTCCTATGCCTCTATATGCTATATGTTAAAAAAAGCGGCCTTCTATATATTAAAAAAAATCATAAAAAATTGACCAGTGCAACATTGATTTTTAACAAATATTACGGATTAAAGTAAAGTTTCACGTTACTTTAATCTTATTTGTAATATTAATATACATAATTTTTAAAACGCCAATCAGCGTCTAGTGACGACATCCCTGTTTTGACAGCTTATAAAGGTTAATAAAGTTAATTGGAAAGGTAAACATTGTTTTTTTTTGCGAAATTTAACTGTATTTTTGAATAAAAAAATGGACATTGGGATTATAAAAGCAGACTCCAAGGAATTTACCGGAAGTTAGTGTTGACATGGTTATAATTTTTTTGTTGAAAGTGCAGAGGTTTCAAGTGTAGAAATGAAAGGGATTAAAATGTTACGGTATGTATAAATCACAGTGAGACTTTGTATTTCATTCAGCAGCTTCTACATTCAGCAGTTATTTCAGGGCAACAAGGAAATTTTGTGGCGACAGCGCTATCGGTTATATCAAAATCAAAAGATATGGAGAATCATGTACGGTAAAAACTCGAGTTACTCCGGAGCATGAAGTACTTAGTGGTTATCGTGTGACAATGGTTATCGTGTGACAATGGTTATAAATGAAATGCAAAGCTTGGTTCAGTCCTGCCAATGCGAAAATTGTGCAGCCCCTGAAGGTGAAGAATTGAGGTTTTTATAAAATACAATAGTTAGTGTATTATAGCACAGATTATGATTAAAATATCTTTCCAGGTGGGTGTAAACATGCTGCCTTATTGCTATGGTTGAACAGAACATCTGAGGAGCCTTCGACTATGTCCATCACATGTTATTGGAAGTAATCAAAATTATCTATATGGGCTTCTGGAAAATCTTTTTAAAAAGCTAAAGAAATTCCAGGGCCAGATTCCAGTCACTGACAGTTTCTCTCAAGTATCAGTTTTACATACTTTTTTATTTAGAGAAATAAATAAATGTATGTTATATACTAATACAATAACTGTATGTTTTTAGGTGGATATTTTAAATGTGGTAAAAACAAAACATTGTCAAGAAAATATTATACCTAATATTTTTAGGATAGCAACAAAATGTAAACATACATAAACTTTGTTCAGGCTTGGTTGTAAGTTTGGACAATCATTTCTTGGAAGATAAACAAAATGACATCTGATCATATTAACATGGAGTTTTTTCCTATGGTTTAAGGTAATATAGAATGTAATATAGTTTTATTTATATACTCAATTTATGTATTTACAAAAACAAATTTTCATGCATAGATAATAATAAATATATATAATAAGATATACATAAACTAATATGTAAAAAGTATAACAGTGGTAGGGCCACGCAGCAGCCTCGGCTGTTGCACGAATGGGTAGGCTTGTACGGGTAAGTACCACAACCTCACAGAAGACCGGCGTAAAGTGGAAGTATAATATTTTCGCGTTTTGTCTGGTGAGTGTGGTGGCCAGAGCCTCAATTTTCAAATGTCAACGCATCAGGAACCCTCATGGGCGGCGGTATTCACAACATCAGGTGAACCGTCTGATTAAAGAAAGAAAAAATACATTTTCTATTTTTACAGGTATGGAAGGATCATTGGCTCAACTCTATATGAAGTTGCTCACTGCAAAAGTAAAATTGGTTCTCTTCTGATTAAAATTATGGAGGCACCATGAAAGTTTACTTCCATTGCAATAGCTAGAGGGACAAAACTTGAAAAATTTCGGGCACAAGATGCTTAAAATGTTATTCAGCAGAAGAAAACATTGCAATTTTCTGTGTAGTTAGGCTAAATTTTGAAAAAGTAGATGTGTATTATGTGCCATTTGATTGCAGCATCATATCTGTTTTGGATGCTGCAATGAAGTTCTGTGTAGATGCTGTATTCCCAAAATTAAAAGATTTATAATAACATTTAACCATACTTTTAAATTTTCTTAAACATTTTTGATAAACATTTAAAATAAAACCCTGTTTATTTAACACAGTTTTTTTATTCTATTTTAATTAAGGCTGATTGTCAATTGACAAGCACAACAAATGATCATAGCATAGTCTACATTGGGTATTAAATAAATAATCAACACAGGCGTGTGGCTTTGGAAAATCAAACACACGCAGTCTTCTGATCTCTCTTTCAATGTGAAAAAAGGTTTGCCCTTTTTGTTTGACCTTAAAACATCCTTCTTCGCACTTTAACTATTTGGGAAATTCGTTGAAGCCGATGAACACATAGGTGCGAAACACGCATCTACACGGATTTTTTTCGGAACATTGGTGGTATTGTTATGATTACTTGATGTTGATTCATTGTATTATTTGTTGTTAATTTTATTTATTTATTGTACTTTGAGGTATTTATTTAAAAGAATAATAATAAATTTCTAAAAAGTCAAAACTTATGCCATGAAAGAGAGACAAATTATATTATATGGCAAGTTGGTAAGGCAAGTGACAGGCAGAAGATCGCAATTGTAGATGCGTTGTCGCGCGAAAATTTAAACCATCAATTTGAAATCGCATTTCTTTACAATAAATTACAGTATTTTAATTTTTTTTATATACTTGTGGTCTATTCTACATGAAGTCCATTCAAATAAAACCAGAAATGAAAATATTGCATCTTCTTCCTCCTATTTGGCCTCTTAGACGGTTTGCTTTTGCCTAAAAAAGTTATGAAAATAAAAAAATAAGACATGTCAAATTCTAAGTTACCGTGCTCTATTGGTTCATTCGTTGTATGAAGATTCCCGTCTGATGCATATCATCTTAGTAGTCTGTGGGCAGGCTGTTCATTTGATTAATGTCATAAAATTCAGGTTAAACTGACATTTATTTTAACTATAACTCTCATTGTTTATATTGATTGCTAGGCCTCGATGAAATCAATTTTTAGTCGCACTCGTACTGCTCGAGCGTTGTTAAATAACGCACGTGCAAGGAGATTGAAATCCACTACTAGTGATGAAAAACAAAGTCCTTTAAAACGGCTTCTGGACGATGCCAGCTCGTTTGGTGACATTTCCAACCCGGAGCCGGAGCTGCGATGGGCGACAGAGCCGTACGCTAGACTTGCGTCACAGGAACCAACAACACGAGTAGACCCCCGGGAGACCACGGTGTTATTGTTCCCAGGACAAGGTTCACAATATGTTGGAATGGGCAAGAAACTACTTGATTTGCCGGCTGCCCGCGAGCTTTATGAATTGGCTTCCACTGTTGTTGGGTGAGTATTCAGGATATTCCAGTTATTAGCTTAACACTACAAAAATTTAACTTTTCTTATGAAATGTAGCAGTCTAATTTTCTAGGCTAGCCACTTAAATCTGTACATTATTGTGTAAAATCCATTGTAGGTTCCTACTAATATAAGAAAACAATTTGCCCCTTTTTAACCATTGGTAACAAATAGTTTCAGGGTTATTAATTGTAGACTTATTGATGGCATTGTCTTGAAAACGATGATGTCACATCACACACTATTTTGATTAACAACATAGCCTATTTTGGCATAGAGTATAACATATTATGTGTGGAATTTTCAGTGAGTAAATCACACATCATAACATTAAAAAAAAACAGGCCTAGTGCAAGACAGACTCACGCATGAATAGTTCCATACCACTGTCCTACGTCTATCTATATTAACTACTAAACAACCTAAATCTAAAATTAATAAGATAAACTAATTAGTAAGTACCTATAGGTTGCCTAGCAACTATTTCGCGTTTTTGTATGGGAGCCCCCTTAAAGAATTTTTATTTTATTCTGTTTTTTAGTGTTTCTGTTAATAGTGGCAATAGAATCTCTGAAAAGAAATGTGTGAAAATTTCAATTGTCTAACTATCACGGTTCATGAGATACAGCCTGGTGACGGACGGACAGACAGATAGCATAGTCTTAATTATAGAGTCCCGTTTTACCTTGTGGGTACGGAACCCTAAAAAGCGTCCGTTTTGTGATCACGCTTATTCATTGTATGCATCCCACATTGAGCACATAGTGTCTGCTTGAGAACTTTTATTGAATACCCATGCATTATAGTCCGAAGCCATGTCGTCCAGTGATTCTGTGCTTGATTGTGAAGTGTTCAGAGTATCCAACTCTATCGAGCCACTCGTGCTTTCTCTTTCATACTTCTATTCAACTCGCTCATCCTAGAGAGCTGCGACGAAGAGTTGGAATCTAGTGAGCCTCTTGTGACTGTCATTTCTGGTGTTTCGGCTTTGAAGGTGTCCCAAAAAAATCCAGCGCAACTTTGTCAGAAAGGCGTCTTTAGATCTTTGAAATATCTATTTCTGGTACAGCTGTAAGGTATCCTGCATCTCCTGAACCAGCCACCTCTGGCTCTTCTAACCAAAAACGTTTTAAGCTGAAGATTACTGGGCCAATGGAAATTATATAAGATATCCAAACTATTTTATACAAGGTAGAAATGATTGAAGTTTTCTGAGGAACGAAGGGTTATATTCCGGAGCTCACTTTGCCCTTAACATCTTTAGATTAACATAATGCTATGCTGCAGACTTTACTTACAAACATACATTGTGGTAATGTGCCATAATGGGAAGGGAGTGCACTGGTTCAGTTACTGTTGTGAAAAATATGTGTGTTTGAAATCAAACATGCTGAACATCAAGACATAATTTGTAGCTCAGGGAAAGTAGTACAGATAGATAATATAATAAAGTAAAAAGCGTGGTGGATCCCAGGAATGATTGAGGGCTGAAGCAAAAATTTGCGATTGGAAGTGTGCCCTAAAATACTGGGAATGCTGAAACATCGATACCACTAATAAAAAATCCTGTCAAAGAAGGCACAACTAATTCATACCACTTCCACATCATGGTTACATCTGTAAAATTATCTGATGATTTAATGGAATGTATTGTATTTGGCAAATTGTAATTCATTTATAGTGGATACATATTTATAACTGGGAGGGGGACCTGATGGCCTAAAATACAGGCTGCTTAGTTTAGGCTTCAGTCTCCCACATTCCTTCGAACTCTAAATTTAGTTGTATATTCCATAAATTGTACAAACCGATGTGGTGAGAAATAAAGTTTATTATTATTATGATTCTTTGGGTATGGGTACCATCTTCGTTGAAAAAGAAATTTACTGTTTTTAACAATTTAAACACATATTAAGTATTAGAAAGCAACTAACAATTTAGTTGCTTTCTAATACTTAATATTTGTTAGTTTGTTATTGTTGTTAAATTTAAAATACAATCATGGTCTTAAAAAAGATAAAAGGCCTTGTTTGTGATAGTAGTAGGGCCATGGCCTTCTGGAGCATAATGTTGAATTTGCAAAATGTTGGATTTTTATGATGTTGAATTCGCAAAATGTTGATTCCCAAAATGTCGAATTCGTAAAAAGTTGAATTTACTAGACCCACAACGTCGAGTTTGCTAAAAGTTGAACTTGCATTATGTTGAATCGCAACACGTCGAAGGTCGAAGTGAAAATAGTTGTATCCAACACACATAAGTACGGGCGTAGGTGGGACGTGGCGCGCGTGTGCACGGAGGGCCCCGAGGAGGAGCTGCAGCGGCGCTGCCAGACGGCCGTGCTGGTGACGGCGTTGGCGGCGCTGGAGCGGCTGCGCGACGAGCGGCCCGGCGCCGTGCAGCGGGCGCGCGCCGCGGCCGGCTTCTCGCTCGGCGAGATCGGCGCGCTCGTGTTCGCGCACGCGCTGCCCTTCGAGCAGGCGCTGCGGCTGGCGGAGCTGCGCGCGGCGGCCATGCGGGCGGCGGCGGCCGAGCGCGCCGGCGGCATGCTCACGCTGTGGCTGCGGCCCGACGCGCGCCTCGCGGACGCGCTGCGGCGCGCGCGCCAGCACGCGCTCGAGCGCGGCGTGGCGGCGCCCGTGTGCGCCGTGGCCAACTACCTGCAGCCCGGCTGCAAGGTGGTGGCGGGCGACGAGGCGGCGCTGCGCTGGCTGGAGGCCGAGGGCGGCGCGTGGGGCGTGCGCCGGGCGGCGCGCGTGCGCGTGGCGGGCGCCTTCCACACGGCGCTGATGGCGCGCGCGGCCGAGGCGGTGCGCGAGGCGCTGCGCCACGTGCGCGTGGCGGCGCCGCGCCTCTGCGTGCTCTCGTGCGTGGACGCGCGGCCGTACCGCGACGCGGCGCACGCGCGCCGCCAGCTGGTGCGCCTCACGACGCAGCCGGTGCGCTGGGAGCAGACGCTGCACGCGCTGTTCGCGCGGCCGCGGGGCCAGCCGCAGCCGCTGACGGTGGCGCTGGGCCCGGCCGCCGCGCTGCGCGCCTCGCTGCGCCACGTCAACGCGCGCGCCTGGGACGCCTCGCTGCAGGTCGACGTGTGACCGCCGGCGCCGATATAGAATAGATAGCGTACAATAAATCTTTATACGAACGAATACTCTTTTTATTGCACTAGCGATGCACTTTTCCATAGACCCTCAAAATGTACAGCGCTTACGATTCTCGATTTCCTATATAATTCATTCTAGCCTGTTCCTTTTCACGGCACGATAAAGTATTAATTGTTTTGAATCGCCTCTGTAACTAAGTCCTCACATGGTACCCAGTGGTTGTAATAAAAGCTAAAATAAGCTAAAAAATCTAACGGTGGTAGGACCAACAGTGTTCGCTGTTCCACGAATGCGTAGGTCCGTCCGGGTTAGTACCACAACCTCACAGAAGACTTCTCTTATCGAGAAATTAAATCTCAGTCTGCCACGACATGGTGTCCGTTTGCAGAGGCGAAATGTGTTTGCGCTGCCATTCCGACGCACCCGTTACGGTCAGCACTCTCCTTTGTACCGGCTGTGTTCGAGCTACAATGCTATATGCCAGGATTTCGACATATTTAGTGTACGGTGTAGTAACATTAAAAAATATGTAAGGGCTAAGCTATAATTTAAAATTTATTTCAATAGTTTTGTATTATTCGTAATTTTAAGTTAAGTTTAAATGTTGTTTTATCTAATATTTTTAATTTAGCTTTAGTTTCTTTTTTTTTTTTTCTTTTTTTATTTTGTTTGAAGTTATTTTTTTTTTCTTTCATTGTACAATTATTTATTGTTGAGAGTGTTTTTTGTGCATGTTGTGTTCGCTCATAGAAGAACATTCACTTGTGTGTTAAGTTCCGTATCAACTTTTTCTGTTTGCGATCCTAATTAAATAAAAAAAAAAAAAAAAAGACCGGCGTAAAGTAGAAGTGTTGCATTTCTGCGTTTCATCGGTTGAGTGAGGTAGCCGAGGCCCGCATTATAAAGAGTTGGCAACGCACCCTGCCCCGGATTTACTTAACGTTTCCCTAACAAACTAAACCGATCGACCCAAAACGCGGACTGAGACGTGCTGCACGAACATTATTCGCAAGGCGCTGTCTATCTCTTGCAACAGATCTATGCTTCTATGATTTGCAGGATGCTTTTCCTAATATTAGGTCCTTACATATGAAATTAGCGTTTTGTCATACTGACCACTCTGATCTGAAATATCTCCTCTTTGGTTAAGATTTCCAAATTCAAATTTATAAATTCATTCCATACCGCACAGTGGAAAAAATATAATATCGGTATATTTACGAGTACGTAGTTCTACCGTGGCACCAGTGCTGCAGAAACAGTTCGAAGGATTACTGATATGTACGGCGCTGGTGTCTCCTGCGACTCCCACTAGGTATCCTACGGTGGACAATTACAAACACGCTACACCGAGTATCCTAGATACTACGTTATTCAAGGAGGTCTCGCTCGACATCGAGTCGATAAAGACAATCCATTTACTAGACTCAGATCACAGACCCGCCCTGTGCAAACTGGGCCTGAACGCGGGCCCTCCGACCAAATCCGTAGTGAACTGGCATTGTCTTGAGGTCAAACCCAAGGTCTTGGATCCCCAGGACATAGTCAACCTACCCGAGACGATAACTACGTTCGAAGACGCAAAGTCTCCGAGAAACTATCACTTCCACAGTCGCAGATTCGGAACGGGCGGTGAAACTGTCGGGCGACCGACGGTTTAACTTTCCGCACGACCTGCGACTGCTAATTAGACAAAAAATGCAGCCAAACGCGCTTTCGACCGATACCGATCAGAATCGAACCGAACCTTACTTCGACGCCTTGAGCTAGAAGTCAAAGATCGCGTACCGGAACACCGACATACCACGTTCAGACGGGACGCTCTCCTAGAGGACATCGAGCCATCGCACACCGCCTACTGGCGGTTGGCCCGTAGTCTGAAAGCAGACCCCCACCAATCTCTACCGCCGTTAGTTAATAGCGCTTCAGCTAATAGCGCTTCAGTAGCCCTAGATGACTCCGAAAAAGCCCAATGCCTTGCGGACAACCTAGAGCAGCAATGTACGCCATCCCGCGAACACACCTAACGGAGGTGGAACGCGTAATCGAGATTAGAGCTGCGCTTCCACCGGAAGGCGATCCTTTGAATTCAGTGACCCCCGAAGAGGTCCAAGACATTATCAAAAATTTTAAACCCAAGTCCGCCCTAGGCCCAGATAATATTAGTAACAAAATTCTTAAAGCTCTCCCTGGGCCGCTTATCTGTTTACTGGCGACCATTTACAACACTTTACTATCCAGTTGCTCCTTTCCGGACGACTGGAAAGAAGCCACGGTTATCGGCATTCGCAAGCCGAATAAACCCGCTAATCAGGCCTCAAGTTATCGTCCCATTAGCCTCCTCAGTTGCCTGGGGAAGTCGTCTTCTATTAAACAGGCTCAAAGAGCACGTGTTTTCCAACGGCCTTCTGCCGGCGGAACAATTCGGCTTTCGAGCTAGACATTCCTGTCCCGATCAATTATACCGCCTAACGGAACATATCCTAATAGGCCTAAATCACCATAAACATCATTAGCACGGGGGCTCTTTTCTTCGATGTCGCAAAAGCATTCGACAAGGTCTGGCACAACTGCTTGCTTTACAAGCTGTACACACTCAAAGTGGCCAGATAGGCTCGTATATACCATCCGGGTCTTCCTGTTGAATCGCTCTTTTCGATATCGAGTCGAGGGAACCCTCTCCACAAGCCGTCGCCTCACGGCTGGTTCCACGAGGCACCTGCCTCTCACCTTTGCTCTTTACGCTCTACATGAGCGACATACCAAAAAACCCCCATGTCTCGCGCCGTGTCATCTCGCGCTTTTCGCAGATGACACGGCGCTCTTTTATTCAGACCGAAACCTCAGTCAACTAACCACTCGACTCCAAAGCGCGGTCGGTGGCGATTGTTTCCGCAAATGGAGAATAGAAGTAAATCCCGAAAAGAGTGTGGCGATTCACTTCACACGAAGTACTTACCCGTCAAATCTTTATAAAGGCCCTCGCCAATGCAGAAAGTTGAGGTAAATATCCCTTTATGGCCAACCGCTCCCCTAGGAGAAAAAGGTCAAATACTTAGGAGTCACTTTCGACTCACGTATGTCATTTACTACGCACATTAATAACGTTCGTAATAGAGCCGCAGTCGTCTCCGGCCGGCTACACAATTTAACTAACGCTAAAAGTAAAATGCCCTTAAGGCACAAATCTTATCCTTTAAACAAGCAATTCTTGTATATATATATATATATATATAATCGGAATCTCCGAAACGGCTCCAGCGATTTTCATGAAATTTAGTATGTGCGTAGATTCGGGGGCGAAAAATCGATCTAGCTAGGTTTCATTTTTAGAAAATGTCCTTTTATCCCTGTTTTCAGGGAATGAAAAATATCATTCGAATATGACGGTAAATTTCGCCGCAAGAGAAAATGTCATAATAGCTCGGTAATCGCACGGCCCCAAAACAGACGGCCGTGGTTCGTGTCACGATCATTTACACACTCTTTTTTTTACTTTTTATTTTTTTTCGATTCCAGACCATTGCTTTCTTTATTTTTTGTTGATCCAGAGGATTTTGTTATTTTTTTCCCTTTTTTTAAAGTTGTTTCTTTTGTGAAAAACACCACTTCATATTTTCTTATTATTAGGTCGGTAAGATCGAAAAAGATTATGCAAATTTCCATTACTCAGTAATTTGTATCTAAATGTAATTTCCAAAATACACGATTTACAAAAAAAAAAAAACAAACCTCAAACGGTCCTCCAGGTACTTATTATTATATAAGACCTATTATGTCCTACGCATGCATGACATTCGCCCACACGCACTTTACTCTGGTATTAGTATTACTTCGCTGTGTATGGGTCAGTAAGGCATAGAAGTGGAGACAAACTGGACCACAGAACACTAATACTCTCACGAGAAGAATGACAACTCCATACATTTGAAATGCGTACACGGAGCTCACTAGCGCTCCAGTGTATGCCACCGAAACTAACCCGTAGCGCGCGAATATATGAAATGAGTGAATGTACTGATAGTGGGTTGTCATGTATTACAGATTTGACGCGCATAACACTAATACATTTGAGTAGTAGTGTTATGTGATTCAAATCCACAGAGTTATTAAGTTTACATTATTTCTTTCCTTATTTCTTTAATTTTTGATGAAAGTATAATTTATGAATTAGATAGTTATAATTAAAACCACATTTTAAACATTCTTTAATATTTTTATTCTTCTTAAACATGATTGTTTTGAAGCTTCCTCAATGAACCCTCGATTTTTGTTGATGCAAAACCGTTTTATGCATATTGCCATTGTATTTTCAACTATTTTTTCTTTATTTAAATATTGGTGTACCTTACACCCGTTCAGCCAGTTATAATTAATATTTTCACATATTTTTCTTAAATTTACTTTTACATTTCGTTTAAAAGAATTTTTATTTAAGAAGTCATTTATTAAAGTTGCAGCATTTTCAACCAGTTTACAGAGATTGGGATGAATATAATTAAGGCTTGCCTTTTCCTCATACTCTTTGAATGAAGTGAACAAATGACATATCTCAGTATTTTGGTCAGAAAGAAAAATATTTTTACAGTCTTTGCAGTTAATTTCCATGGTTCTGACTATGAAACCAGACACATATGCACATGCTTGCATTTCTCCAGAACATTCAGGTATCACTTTTAACTCTTTTACACATTCTGTTGTTTTGACTGGAAGTGTAAAAGAGTTTTCTTTTTCTGATTCTTCAAAAGATAATTTTGTGTCATTTGTTCCTTTATTCAGAAAAATTTTAAAATTATTAAGCAAGCCATTGCTATCATCCAAACAGTTTCTGTTTTTATTACTATTTATTAAATTTGTTATTATACTGGTTTTCAATGCTGCAATAAACTGAACTGACGTCGGATTAGGGTTTGCACCACAATTTGACCTTATGCAACCAAAACAATTTTCGAGGGGGTCTTGATTAAGCCTTCGTAAAGATAATGAATTAATGCCTTGTTTTTTTAAATTAAAAAATAGTTTTTCAATTGCATTAATTGTCCTCAACCAGCCATCCTGAGAAGGGGGATTGCTTCTAGCACCCAAAAACTTAACTTCAGTAAAAAATTTTTTCATTTCATTAAAAAAATTTAAGTGAGGGCTGGTTGAGGACATGTTTGTTAATAGAGGCTTTCCTCTTTTCCTATCTGGAGTGTCTCCATTAACTGCATCAAACAGCTTGTCCAGTTTGGAGACAACTGCTGCTGTTGCGATTGCCTCTTGTGGTAATTCGTCTGTAAAAAAATATGGTATTCTTTAGCTGTTTTTTTTTCCATATGTAATTTTGAATGTAATATGTAGTTTTGAATCTAAAACAAATTGTGTGTATTCTTTAGCAACTGAACTCCTGAACCCTAATGGCAAACGGAAGTGATTACTCAACAATTTTTTACAAATAAATCACATTCTCATTTCTATATATAGCGTGACGTTACCATCGCGACAATAAATGAACACACGTCTAACGCTACTTGCCAATAATCATAAAAAAATATTAACGTTAAAAAAATCCGTAAAAAAAAAAAATTTCAGGCAATCTAATTAAGTAAAACAAAAAAACAAAATTTGTAACATTCTATACAACTACAACTGACTGATTCATACAGTCAGAGACTTTTCATTCGTTGCCTCAGCGTCGCATTACAAGCCTCTCCTTCTAACAGTATGTTGTCTCTTTTAAATTGATTCAACCCATTCATATGATTGGTAACTTTTACAAATGAAATTTACGTTACAGTTTTATATGTAAGGGTTTTCTAAAATTCTTTATTTTGGAAAGTTTAATAACTCTGTAAATATTGATATTTAAAAAAATTAAAATAATACAATTATAAAATGTTATCCTCTATATGCGTGTTCATTTATTGTCGCGATTGTATTGACACGCTGTAGAGTAGTGCTAGTAGTTATGTACATGAAAAACAATCTTATTTAAACACTATTACGTATAGTCTATTATTTTTGTTTGACGTCTTTTGCTGCACCAGTAATTTTGCTGTATTTTTTTTTTTGCTTATTTTATTCATGTCTTGCGATATTAAAGCGTCTTGGTGATAAAGGAAGTACTTTTCTAATAATCCAATATCCGAATTTCTTAGAAAGTTCTGTATGCATGAGGCCGACAGTCGAGTTTATTATGGACTAGGATAAAAAAGCGACAAAAGAACGTACACAGCTGCGCAGTTTCTTAAAATTTTGGCAACTTCAAAGGTACTTTTTATTACTTAATTGTTATCGTTATAGAGTGGGTGTAATGTTATATTAAGTGTATCATTGTATGGAAGAAAAGCTAAACCAACCAAAGCCAAGTGATTTCGACATGAAGTTTACACTGTATAATATAAAGTAACGCTACTAACGCGACCAAAAATCAACGCATATAGAGATTTAATTTTTGTTTGTTTTTTATTAAGTAATTTTAATGTTTAATAAGTTTGTTTGAAAATTAAATTTTTTTTAATTATGGATTTTTTTAACATTTATATTTTTTATAATTATTGGCAAGTAGCATAAAGAGTGTGTTTATTTATTGTCACCGCTGTAAAGCCATGCTGTATAATATGTAATAAATCTTGAAACTTACTAAGAGCTATTTTGGCATACAATCCTGCTGCAACAGAATGGCTCAAGATTTGTGCTGCTAACCGAACTTTCATTTTCTGTTTGCCATTTGGCTGCAAGTGCTGTTGGGTCAATGCAGGAGCAAAAACAAAATTCGGGTTTGCTTTCTCCAATTTATAAAATTTTTCTATATGGATCCATTTAGCTACTCCTGTAAGGGAAATATTTATAACAATTAAAACAAGAGAGAGATTTTTCTAGTTAATGGATTATTTTCTGTAATTGTAACTTCAGGTTTTACTGATATGTTTGTGATAGTTTGAAACTTTGTTACAAAATTATGTTTATAAAAGTCTATTGTATTTTGTTTAAAACAAATTTTATAATATTTATGGGTACAGTAGAGTGTAATACAATAATATTCTAATCAATAAGTAATTATTATTTTTATTATTACCAACCTGTTTTCTGCTGCCCATCAATCTGAATGTCTTCAGGAAATACCACATTATGCTTCATGAAATTATTTCTGAAGCATTTTAAAAGATGGGGTGGATCCAGCACAGTAACAATTTCATGACCATCATAATCAAAAAATGGTTTCATTTTTGTAGACCCCAATAAGTTGAGGGCGCGTAAATTTACTAGATCACAGTCACATACTGTGCCAATTACTATCAACCCACATGTAAAACATGTGTTCAAGACCTGAAAAAACAGAATTGTTTTAATTATACTATTATTGCTTGCCATTTAGCTGGTTGCTTCCGGCTTAGGCTATGATGCCTCATTTGTTCAACAGTTACTTAATTCTTTATTCCACATGTTTACTAATAGGGAAAAACTCACCTCTTTGATAATTATAGCAAGCCTGTCTGCTGTAACATAAGCTCCAGAAAAATAAAAAGCTATTGGCTGTTTCCAATTTTTTCTGACTCCTATAGCCATAAAAGTTAAAGCTTTGCTTGCTACTTGTTCGGTCCGTCCCTGTGCAGCATGATCTTGATAACCATCAATTTGGTCCAGTTTAATGTTGTATGTAAGATTTTTTCTAATAGCCATTTCATCAAAAGCCAACATGCACAAATTCTCTTCAACAGTTCTTTTTTCTGTTATGTCTTTAATAGTGTGAACTATTTGATCATTTATTCCACACTGCATTGGTACTTTATTGAGTAAAGACTTAAGTGAGCTAATGCTGGGTAAACAAAATAACCTTCGAAGAAGCCTGTAGCAAGAACTGGATTTTTTATATATGCTCAAGGCCAAAACTTTATCATCCAGTGTCCACCTCCGTCCAGCTAGCTTTCTTGAGTTATTTTTTAGCTGGCTTTGCAGTAACAAATATGATGAGTAACTCAATTTACTTTTAATAATGTTATTAACAGCACTGTTTGATTCTAAAGAACTAATAAAATTTCTACTTTGCTTATTAACTTTTGCGAATTTTTTTCTCAGTCTTAAAATTTCAGTTAAGTTTTTCCTGCATCGTTTATACAACTGTTGCTCTCTGGGTGTTAAATCGGCTAAGGTTTTGACATCAATTTCCTTTATAATCCCATGATTTTTATGAGATTCCTGTAAACATAAAAAATTGATAAGCACCATAATTATGTACACAATAATGCAAGTTCAATTGAGTCTACATTTTTTTATCTTATTTATTTCATTGTAGATAATTGTGAGAAAAGAAAACAGCTTAAAGAAACCATTCTTTCAGCTGTTGTGTTTTTTGCTTATATTGAATGCCTTTGGGCCAACTTCTAAAAGATAACAAAGTGTGTTTTATTATAATACTGGTCTCGGAGCAAAATTTTGTAGCCAGCTGGGATAGTCAGTATTGGTATACTTAAATAATATACATCATCATTTCAGTCTACTTGAGTCTACTGCCGAACATAGGCCTTCCCCATAGACTGCCATGAGGTAGTAATAATATACTTAAATATAAATAAATATTATTATGATTATTGTATTCAAATTACCTTAGCCAAATTTTGGGTAGACAGTTTATTTTCGTTAACAAATTCCATAGAAATTGAATTCTGTGAAGTACTAGTTGAAGCACCATGATCCATCTGTAATAATTGTTATTTAGATATGAATATCTAATGATTGTCATATACACATTTTGACATGTAGTGAGAACCTGTATCCCCTTCAAACCTACTTACTATCATTATTATTGGCAACACAAAAGGTACCACAATAACTACCTATGAAATTATTTACAAGGTTGATATAATCCTCAAACTGTATAATGAAAATTTAATGTCATTGACAAAAGGTAAAAAGGACCCATTATAAAATCAAGTGATGTGTTAATTTAGAAATGAATTAAATATCTACCACCATTACTTTGGATCGAATGAATTTCTTAATTATAAATTATTTATATTCTAAACAATCTGTTGCTGGGAGTTGCATGACAAATTAATTTTCTTTCAAGTATGGATATAATTATGTCCATATTGGTAATTAATTAGAAAGTAATTTAAAAACCCTGCATTTAAACAACTAGCTAAATCAGGTCACACAGATTACTTCTCTTTGCCTTATTGTCATCGCCATAAGTGTATGTCATCACCAGATATATTAACAGTATAAAAATTGTGTAAGTTTAACTTTAATAATAATTATTAATATTCATAATTCTTGTCAAATGTTGTGTGTGTTGGTAACTGTTTGTTACTTAACATTTTGAATCGATTTTGGCTTATGTATAGCAAAATTATATCTGGGTTACTAATTTAGTAGCAAAATAGCTCCTCTACAAAATTACCTTATATATCAGAAATGCTTACCTGTGTTATGGGTTTTTCTGCAGATGAATTAAATAACTTATTTCTTAACTCTGCCAATATGTAATGAGCTTCATTTGGAATGGCAAACTTATTCATTCTTTTTCTATCGCTGTTGGTGAATGATGAATCATCAAAATGTTTACCACATAGCATCTTATGCTGCTTGTACAAACTACGCAGAGATTGGTCAGATGTCCAATCTTCATCCGGGAAGCAGAACTTGGCCCAAACTTTGGCTCTGAAATCAATTTGGGAAAATTATTTACATTTTATATTTTTTATGTGAGAAAGTGGCAAACGAGCTGGTAGTTCACCAGAGTTTAAGTCATAACAGCAACCCATGGACATTTGCAACCCCGTAGGATTGAAAATACGTCGCCACCTTTAAATAAGGTGGGCCCCGGCTACCTCACTCACCAGACGAAACGCAGAAGTTTAACACTTCTAGTTTACGCAAGTTTTCTGTGAGGTCGTGGTCGGTAGTACTATCCCGAACGGACACAGGCCAGGCAACAGTGAAAACTGTTGCTGGCCCAAACACAATTAAATAGTCAATGCTCATGTTATTATTTATAAGATAAAATATAAAATATAGTAGCATAAAGTATAAAATGATTTAATTCGTAAATAAATATCCAAATCTACTTACTTTAGAGAGTCACGTACGGATGGCAGAGGAAATCTATGAAAGGTCAAAGAAGAATCGTCCTTCGAATTTATGCCGCACTTAGCACAAATCATGCTTCTTTTCCCTGTCATTATCAAAGGGTTCTTACAGTACTATTTAAGGTCTAAATTAAAATTAAAAAAGCGTCAATATCGCAAGAGTCTCTGTCTCACAAATCACAACACTATCTCCACTAAAACACAAAAGCGTCCACTTCGCAATAATTTCTTTCTCGCAATTAATAACACAAAACTGAAAATACCAGTTAAATTCAGTAAAATTACCGTAGCGCAATTTCAAACTTAAAGAAACTGGTCAACGGACAAAACAACAATCGGCCATTGTATTTTTTAGGGAGGGTCTTGCCTTCTAAAAATCCCAAATCCTACTATTGGAATTTTAAATAAATATAAAAACCGATTTTGGAGACTTGTTATGTAACAAAATAATTAAAAAAAAGGAAGGCTATTTATTGTTTTAAAAAATATGCAAAGTCTTTGTTTGGCCGTTGAATTGGACGTAGCCAATAACCAATAATTTACATTCCACAGTTGTAAAATCTACCTAATTAGGAGTTCTTCCAGAACGATAACAGTGGCAACTGTAATGCAACTTTCTCGCTCTTTTCTAGAGCATTATCTCTTTTTTACGAATCGTGCCCATGCTTGCATTTTCTAACTACAGAGCTGACCCCCCCTGCTAACCTAATTTACCGGAATAGGGCGTGCAATATTTATGGTTTGTTAAAATTCTTTTTCATTTGTTTATATTTTAATTATGTATTTGTGTTCTTTCGCTTTACTGAATTATTTATAAGTAATTTTTTTATTTTCTTTTATTTTTTGTTAATTTTAGTTTTTCTTTCTCTTTTATTGTGTGCATCCTTTTTTTTTGGTAAATAAATGTATTTTCTTTCTTTGTTTTCTTACTCGCTTGTACAAGTTGCAAATAGTACAAAATAAGTTCATCCGCCGCGCAACCGGTGCGCAGTGGTATCAGCGCATCGTCGACCTGCACAGCGATTGCAGACTCCTGACCAAACGGTCCTTCGATAGAGCCGAACATCATCCCAACCCTCTGGTGGTAAGCGCAGCAAATTACCAACCCGACACAAACGCGAACGTCAACAAGTGTCACTCGCCAAACGTCCTCATCGACTCAGTCTAGGAAGGGGACTTAGATACGTCGGACCCACCGCCGGATGACAATACACCAACAGTTAGTGCATCAACAAACACACAAGGTACACCCGCGTTCCCGGACGGTTCTCACCGCTCCCAGCCACCGATTAGCTAATTGCACAGTCGAAGGCCATCGGGGTTTCGGTCCGACCTTGATGGCCCTTAGATGACACACCATACTTAAACGCACGCATGAGCACATGCGCGGCCCTACCCACAGCGGAGGATGAAGCTTTAATAGTCTCGGCACTGAAAGTAAAAACATCAGTTAATACAAGGTACTTTGTATAGGGAGACAGTACCACCACTGGACTTTTTAACGGTACCGATGTCATAAGAAAAGTTACTGATGCTACCAACACAGTTTACCACAGCATCCTCAGATCCTTCATTACTTACCTTAGATTCGATCCCAGATTTGGGTTGGATATAATATATATATCTTCGCGGTCGCCAACAGTCAGTCCTCTTAGAACAGCAGTGTTCAGCCTAAGTGGACGTTGGTACATGGGTACCGCAAGGTGGTATATTTTCTCCTATTATATTTTAGTTGTTTATCGAAGCTAAAGAAAATCTACATAATATCATAATCTCGTCTGTCACCAAACTTGTCCTAACACAATTGGAATGGCGACTATCTAGTACAATTACCAACAGATTTACATACTGATAATGTGTTTATTACAAAGTAATATACATTAATCATATAGAAGATACTCCCCATAGTGGCCTCCAACCTGAAAATTGTTTCTAGACTTATTTTCCCTATCCGCAGAGAGCCTAGGATCACTAATTACTGATGAGAAGACTCAGCCTGATCTGTGAGTTCCGTCCGCAAACGGTCCGAGAGCCTCGGTAACGGATACTAAATCTTATCTGGTTACCACTGTTCGCAAACGGTCAAGTGTTTTGGTTATATGTACTGAATCTAAACTGGTCACTACTGTACCCAAACGGTCCGAGAACCTCGGTTAGTGTATTCAACACTGTTATTTCTGATAAAATATACACGGACATGCAATAGAACTGAACTGACTCTTTGACACAGCCTTCGGAACCACCCGTAGCCAGTGTCGTATTAGAGCATATCGGGGCCCTAGGGCGCACAAGTTTTAGGCCCTAATGGAACGTAAAAAAAGTGAATAACAAAAACATTTTTCTGGTTGTATCTTGTTTTATTATTTTTTCTATAAACTTCTGTCGGAATATATCTACCAAAAATGGAAAAAAATCTATAGTTTAAGCGAATACGTAGGCCATGCGGGCACCTAGTAGATGTGTGTAACCCTGGACCTATCCCTATCTCGTCTCGGTAGATTGGAGCGCCTTCTCGATAACTACATTAGATTCATGTTCGGGTCACGTAGCCGGAATGTACGTGCATAACTTAAGACATAGGAAGCTACGATGGTTAACGTACGTATCTTCCTACCGTCGCAAGCTTAACTGGCTACGTATTCAACAAAGATGTCCGAGATACGGCCCAAACTTTAATAGACTTCATAAACATTCGTAGTTGCAAATCTTACAGGAGAGAGAATGAAAAGCGACGCGTGTTTTATAAAAATGAGTAATTTTAATAATAAATATATTCGCTCTCAAGATCTAATGCTAGGGAGGGGAGGGGAGGTGAGGGGACGGGAGGGGTGCGCGCGTCAGATGTTGAGGGGGGAGCGCGCGAGGCCGGCGGGGTGGTCGGCCACGGCGCGGCCGAGCGCGGCCAGCCGCTGCGCCTGCGCCAGGGCGCGCGCGCCCAGCGCGGCGGGCAGCGCGGCCATGCGCTGCGTCGCCTCCTCGGCCCACGCCTCAGCCAGCCGCAGCTCGTGCTCGGCGCTGGCCAGCCCGAGCCGCTGCGCCCTGCTGGCGCGCGACAGCACGGCCGCCGTCGTGTAGCCGTCGATGGCGGCGGCCGCCAGCTGGTTGAGCACCTGCTGCTCGTCCACCACGGCGCGGCCGTACTTGCGCAGCGCCAGCTCGACGGCGACGCCGAGCTGCGCGGCGGCGCGGGCCAGCTCGCGCGCGTGCGGCGCCAGCGCGGGCGCCACGAGCGGCTCCAGGGCGCCGCCCGCCAGCCCCACGGCGCGGCCGGCGCGCCGCCCCGCCTCGCTGAAGATCAGGCCCAGGTTGGCGGCCGGCTTCTTGAACGCGCGCTGCAGCTCCTGCAGGTGCGAGCCCGCGAACTGGATGCCTGCGCGACCACGCACGGTTAACGTCCGGCGCCGCTCCGAGGGCGGGGCCGCGGGAGGATCTGCACCTACCTGTGAGGGCGACGAAGAGGCGCAGGATGTCGTTGGTGCCCTCGAAGATGCGGAAGATGCGCAGATCGCGCAGCACCCGCTCCAAGCCCGCGGACTTCATGAAGCCCATGCCGCCCAGTATCTGGATGCTCTCGTCCACTACCGCCCACGCGGAGTCCGACGCGAATACCTGCATCGTGCCACACCGCTTATCAAACGGCGAACAGTGCTGAACGGTTGAATATTAGCAATATATATGTACGATTGATTATTTAATAGTTGAGTAAAAATGATTTTTGAACGAAGTATTGTGTGAATGAGAAGGATGAATGGCGTAAAAGGGATTGAGAGGCTCTCAAGTAACGTGTATCTGTGTCTTAAAATGTATTAATTTAAATAAAGATAAATCGGCAGCGATCACCTTAGAGATGGCGGCCTCGAGGTGATAGTCCTGCGCCCCGGAGTCCATGTTGCCGCTGACCATATAGGCCAGAGACTCGGTGACGTACTGCAGCAAGGCCATGCGCGCCAGCTTCTCCTGCACGGCGCCGAAGTCGCGCAGGCGGCGGCCGAACTGCACCCTGGTGGCGGCGTGCTCCGCGGCCACGCGCAGGGCGGCGCGCTGCGTGCCGGCCAGCGCGGCCGCCATGCCGAAGCGCCCGTTGTTCAGGATGTTCATCGCCACCTGCGGCAGGGCGGAGGCGTCAGCAGAGCCATCCGCAGAGGCGATGGCAGATGGCGATGCCGACACTGGCCGCGGCGCGCACCTTGAACCCGTCGCCGAGGCCGCCCAGCACGTTGCGCACGGGCACGCGCACGTCCTCGTAGTACACCTCGGTGGTGTTGGAGCAGCGGATGCCCATCTTGTTCTCGGGCGGGCCCGAAGACACGCCGCCGAAGCTGCGCTCCACTATGAACGCGGTCACCTGCATACGATCAACGTCACGGCTAAAAACTTCTTCACGGATGTTGAATACATTATAGCTATAATGTATTCAACATCCGTGAAGAAGTTAAACATTGATAAACAAAAAATTATTTATTATAAATCTGACATTACCTTGATATAAATATAATTAAGGTGTTACGTTACGCTTATACAAACAAAAAGGATTAACATTAAGACACGCTTTATCTTTCTTCTTAATCTTTTAAATTATTTTCACAAAAAAGTTTTCTACAAAGCATAGACATTATTAAGCGTTATCTTTCAGTACAAATAAAAAAAAAAAAAAAAGGAATAAAAAAAGCATTGAAGAAAAACATTATAAATTCAAAATCAATCAATTCAAAAATCACAAACATTGTGAGGAAACTTGCATATTTTTAAAATAATAACAAAAAATCTATACAGTTGTGGTCGTATAATTAGAAACAATACCAACGGTCCTTGACATGTAAGATACTTCACCGCAATCGTTTTTATTCTGAAATTAAACAATAAATAGGACAACAATATGTTCAATGATTTATCATTTATAAGAAAAACAATGTAAATCCCAATACACAACTGCCGTTTCAATATTACATTACGGACAAACATTTAAATCACTTTTAAGCTATAAACAATAAGTAATAAGTATTATAATTAGTCGTATTGTTATTTACGAAATAGCTACTATCCACAGCCAACCAACTATTATAAGTAATATTTAGTGTCGTATCCCTTATTTTCAAAACAGCACTGCAACTATGTGGCATTGATTCAATCAATTTCATAAACATTTCTAGGGGGATTGAATTCCATACTTCAACAAATGCTTCATATAGTATGTTTGTTTGAGACTTTCTTTTTAACAATATACCGCAGATTTTCTATCGGGTTTAAATCCGGATTATTTGCTGGCCCGTCTAAAAAGGATATACGCTGGTCGCTAAGGAAATATTTGACGCTATTGGCCGTGTGTTTAGGGTCATGTCATGCTGAAAGATCCAGGTTACAGGAAAATGATCGTCCGAATAGGGAATCATTGTGTGCTCTAAGATATTTTTGTATTGCCATTGATCCATTGTACCTTTAATTTTCCGAACTGGATTCCGCTTGGTAAGAAGCGGTACCTTTCAAGGGATTCTTCCAAGCAATTTAGCTTGCACCGATCTTTGGCATATCAGTCTTGACGAGATGTCTCTCGGGTCATATCGGTCAGGCGAAAAAACTTCATTTTTAATCTAGTTGGAGCCTTTAATTTGATCTTTTTTTAGCAACACGTACAATTAGCGTATCTTCTCTGAAGAGGTTTTCCTTGGCCGAGCCTTTCTTATAACATTTCCAACAGTTCCATGTGTTTTATAATGATAAATTGCATAAAAACTTTCTTAACAGAGCAATTAGCAAGTAATCAGGTGTCAAATGGCTTTTAAATTTTCATTTTAGTTGCCAAAAGGATGGTTTAACTCTCTGAATTGACCAGAATGATCTTCTTATTGATCAGTATGATCAATTCAAACAGTTTAACCATTTGAAAAGCCATTTGACAGCTAATTAGGTAACATCTACGATGATCAGTGTTTCAGAAACCGGGCGTCAGCTATTCTTGTGTACGCCCACTTATGATCTTTACGTAAATTAACAATTATTTGTCTAGTTGAAAAGGAAAGAAATGTTATTCTCCAATTTCAAAAAAAGAATGAGCTATGGATGCTTTTTTTTTTAAATGTTTCTAAGTAGGCGTTCCAAGCCAGCGGAAAGTAACGAAGAAGAAAATAAACTCCTACAAATTGTGTAAGACTCATTTTGTATTTAAAAGTAAGATATGTTTGCCTTTAATGAGTTTTTTATTTGAGTGGCTATATTATTGCATGATTATATTTTATATTGAATGTGTATATTTTTTACGAACATTTGTATGTTGAAGTTATACTTTCTTTATTCATAAGAAGTGTTTCTAATTATATGACCACCACTTTAAAATTCGAAGATATGTGAAGTTCGCCAATCCGCAACAGGTCCGCATGTTGGACTTAGCTCTAAGTCTGTACAGAGAGGGTCTTTGCCCATCACTGGGACATATATAGGGTGTTACTTTGCTTTATTACGTAACCTTTTATTGCGATTGTGTAAATAAAAGCTCTATGTACGCAGTGGTGGATTAACAGCAGGCTTAGTAGGCTAGAGCCTAAATTTGTCATACAGAAATAAAGAGAAACATGATTATATAAACAGAGAAAATGAGTATTGAAACCAGACATATTAACCAGATTTGTAACTGAAAATTTAATAGAGACACTGTTCATATTATTTTAAAACTGTAAGAGCAATAAAAAAGTTTAGCAATGTAAATGTAAATGTAACATTATTTTGTATTAGCTGTTGTTTTGTATCGGCTGTTGGTCTAAGTGTTTTTAAGGCATACCTTAACTGGTCCAAAGATCTAATAATAAAATAAATAATCTAGAGATAATAAGAAGATAAATGAGCTTTTTCTAGCTCAGAAATATACCCAAAAACTATTTTTCATGTAATCTTCACTAAATCCTTGGTTGTATAAATATACTAGAAATTGACATAATGAAACCCTAGTTCAAAATCATGCTAATATAAGAAAAAATGAATGAAATGAAGACAATAGAGCAAAAAATAATAATGTTGCAATTTTATTGACAGAATAAATGTAATAAAATTTCAGAGGTCAATAGGGGCAGCAAAAAATAGAACAGCCTATTGGAAAATTCAGAAAATTCGTAAGTCCGCCATTCAATGTAGGCTACCATACCATTGTAAATAGGTTTATAACATTATAAATTATAGCAATCTACATTTATCACTTACTTTATCTACAGTTTTGCCATCCTTTTCAATAGGTGTTTGGGCGAACACTGTCATAATTTCTGCAATGCCACCATTGCTGATCCAGATCTTGGAGCCATTGAGAATGTAGTGCTGACCGTCTGGCGACAGGACTGCACGCGACCTGCAACAAAAGCCTTCCACGTTGACCTCTGTCGCCCCGCATCGCTATTTAGCATAACTGGCTCACTGTGCGTACGCACTTGATAGAGCCGGCGTCGGAGCCCGAGGAGGGCTCGGTGAGGCAGAAAGCGGCATACTCCCCACCGGTAACGCGCGGTAGGTAGTGTGCTCTCTGTTCTTCGGTTCCAAAGAGCAGGATGCCCTTGAAGCCAATGGACTGGTGGGCACCCAGTGTAATGCCCACGCCCAGGTCGTGAGCACCCACCACCTCTACCAGGCGTGCGTACTGCGTATTGTTAAGCCCGAGGCCACCCAGTTCACACGGCACCTGCAGCCCAAAGGCACCCAGCTCCCAAAGGCCCGACACAGTGCCCTCTTCAATTTGCGCATCAGCGTCATTCTTCGCCGGATCATTCACCTATGAACAAGAAACTATGTATTAATCATTAAAAATAATAATTAAACCACATAAAAAAGCAATATGTGTCAAGGCATATGTGGTAGGGTCAAAGTTCCTCTTGTTGAATATACATATATTGAATAATAGGCACTATGAAAAATTAATATATCATTTATTGATTAAAATGATCAAAACAATTAACCAACCTAAAAATAAGATTATAGATGCAAGAACAACATGGAATGTATTGTAACTTGTCTCTATAGATGTACACATGAACTCAGTGAAATGTTTTACAAACCTCCTGAAAAAACTTTTCTACAGGTGGGACGAGCTCAACAAGAGTTTGGCGTTGGTCTTCAGTGAGGGGCTCAGGGAAAGGGAAAACTTGTGCAGTTTCTAACTCTCCTCGGAATAAGTTAAGTGTGAATGATGCACTTTGGCGTGCACCTCTTGCAGTTTCTGGTTTTGGTGCTTCACTAGCAAACCCCCTGACCACACTGTAAAAGATAAAGTAATGGAATTTTTTCATGTATTTCATGAGTTTATCTTATTAATAAACAAAAACAAAAATAGATTAAAAGGAAAATTATGACAGAAAATGGCAAGCATGCTGGTGGTTCACACAATGTTAACTGATAACCACCGCCTATTATCGATTGCAACAGCCATAGGGTTACAGATGCTTTGCTACCTTTTTCATATAGTGAGCTCGCTCTACCTAGCAGACGTAATACTTCCACTTCTTTTATATTTTATGTTAAAGATGACTCAATAACAATAAAAAAATATCATTACATTCAGAAAGTTTCATTAAAAGTTGTTGTGGTACTATTTTTTCAACAAGAAACTAATTACAATAAAATCAAAACAGGAACTTGCACCATTCACACATTGGAATGACCCATTGGGGCAATCGGAACAAAGTCCAAGGTGAATGTCCAATTTTGATCTAGGCCACATCTGATATCTGGTACACAAAAACCTCCGCTAGTTCTTTTTACCTTTGACGAAATAGCAACTTTCTTTGGAAGCATTGGCGGGCACATACTACTATTCTTGTTCCTGGCATTTTAATGATTTTGGCTTAGAAACAATTAACACTTAAGAAAATTTTAAAATTAGCTTAATTCAGTTAATAAGTCATTATAATCACAAATAACAGTAAATTTATGTACAAGGCACTTATTTGTTAAGAAAACAACCAATATAATGATACTAGTATGAGATTTAAATCCAAAATCAAGCGGTATCGACTCTCCTTAATAAACTAAATAACATTACTGCTGTTTCTGCTGTTACAAAATACAAAAGCTTTGATGACTGTTCTGTCATTAGGAAATAACTTTGACGTCATCTGTCTAAATATTTAGAGTGGAAGTGTGACAACGATATTGTTTTTATTTTTGTAGTGTAGTGTGTTGTTAGCCCGACGGCTTTTACAGTTTCGTTGGAAGAGATCCCTAAACCCTATTAACTCAACTAATGTTATCGTCAGCGAGAACTTTATGCTAGTAGAAGATCGGCGTATAATAAGAGTTTTTGTCAGGCCCAAACGAAATACCAACATTCCTCTTCCGCCACTACTCCACCTCAGATGCAGAGAACAGGAAGAGTAGCTCTATCTCTATTTCCCTCAATTTGTCCCAGGCACTCTACTCGTTTTACCCACTTATAGCCGTTTCAACGTTGATTGCAGAATGGTGACTCACCGTAGGGATATCGAAACTTTTCTTTCCCTTTTCATATCTAAATCTACCCTCTCGGGAAAGATGACACAGAATTATGTGGCATGGTTTTTACATGCAAAGATCAAGCATGCGATGCATATCGACACGGACATGTACATCTACGGTGGTAGGGCCACGCAGCAGCCTCGGCTGTTGCACGAATGGGCAGAACCGTCCGGTTAAGTACCACGATCTCACAGAAGACCAGCGTAAATTGGACAAATAGTTTCGCGTTTCGTCTGGTGAGTGAGTTAGCCGGAGCCCAATTTTCAAAAGGTTGTCAACGCATCTGTAACCTTCGGGTGTGGCAGATGTCCATGGGCGGCGGTATTCACTTAACATCAGGTGAACGATCTGCCCGTTTGACAATTTTTTTGCATAAAAAGTTATAATCTGTACTGCCAGGTCCTTAGTATGAATACAAGTTCATACTGAGAACAACCTCGTGATGAGTTTGCATGTAGGTGTCAAGTTCTATTGGGATACGTTTCCACTTCTTTTTGTATGTTATTACAGGTGGAAGGGTTCGGGAGCTTAAAAAGTCAGGGTGGTGGCAGAGGTGTATGAGTTCATGGCACCTTCCAGTTTATGAAGACTGAGAGGGGAGGAGACCTCGAGTTCGACAAGCGGAGACTGAGAAAGCAATAGACTGAATCACAGTAGCATCTCTATTGCATCGCAACGAAATAGCTATATGGCAAAATAATATTTGTGTGTAAGAGACACTTATAACCGGCAGACTCTAAGCTATTTGGATACTTTGGTGTCAAACAATCTCGTACTTGAGATTTTCGTATTTTTTTACTAAAATGTAAACATAAAATTAATATGTTATTGTATTTATCTTATTGTAAATAAATAAAGAAATATTTTTACACAACGTTCTCTAGTCCTAGACAAAGCAATTCTTGTACTATGGGTACTAGATAACTGAAAAACATACTTTCCTTTTATCGTAGAAAACTTTCGTCTTACCCATGTTCATTTTAAGACTCAACAGTTGGGAAACATTACGGAGATCGCTGAGCATAGTATTAAGGTCCTCCAGTGACTCTGCCATTATGACTATATCGTCGGCAAAATGAAGGGAATTAATGTTGATGCCGAATCCGTCCCAGGATGAAACCAATGAACAAAGTTACGAGAGGAAACTTGTGAAAAAGTTTGTAAAGATGCACGCTGTAGAATAGGATCTCCTTATTGCGCATCCTAATCACTACCTTAGTAATGCACACGATCTTACTGTCACTCATCTGCTCTCACCTAAGGCTCTATTAGTACTGACTTCGTGACTTTTATTACCCACAATCACACTACATTACACACGCTATCTTCGACCTGACTCTTCAGATGAGTTGTTAACTGTTGTGAGCTCGAAGAGAACGAAAATAATGATGTCACTAGTGACGTTTTCACCGCGACCATTACAACCGTGGTCATCTTGTTAAACGGTTGAAGGATTATTTTGATCGTTTTGCTTAATGGAATGCTAGTCTGCTATTTTAAGCATGCACGGATGCACGGATGTTAGAGGTAAGGAGAACAATCTCTGTGTATAAAACGTGTCCGTCGAAAACTAGGCAGTTACCACAGTAACTTTATTCAAGACTTAAGTGCAGGTTTTAAATACTGCAGTTTTATCAGCTGCTCTAGTCACACCTCATTTTGTCGACAACTACTAAATTCATTTCTTACCCTCTGGCTACTCTAGCGCTGTTGTGGAGATTTTGGAACTATTATTTACTGCTTACGGATGGACACTTTTTCAACTACTCGCGTAGGTGTGACGGTTCTCCTTACCTCTACACTCCATAAATTAGAACAAGGACAATAAATGTCATTTGTCATTGTCAAATGTCATGATGACAGTCTACGAAATGACGTGAAAGTGTAAACAGCTCTGTACAGTTTTTTTGTTGAAAATGTTATTTGATTTTATTTTATAGATATATTTAAAATAAAGCAACAATGTTCAACATTTTTACATATGTTTTGGAAGTAAAAAAAGAGCTTTTAGTTTGTGTTTCGCTGACGGTACTATACTTAACCTATTATCTAGTGGAGGTAGTCAAGGTAAAATCCATTATCATATGGCATTGCGACAGTATCAAAACCATTGGCAACTTACATTCTTTTTTGCTGGGATATTGTACATTTATGCATGTGTAGTTGGAACATTAAAATGTAAAGTATGTACCGTTATTTTAGAAACCAATATTAATATGCCGGAAAGGCGAATTCCGACAATTATTGGAGGACAATGTTCCGATATTGAATGAATACTACTGGCCTACTCCTTGGTGTGTTGAATCACGGTTGCAGACTGTTCTTGGTTCAGTACTCCGATCTCTGCTGCTGCCTCCGTTGAAATTTAGGCGGTAATGGAATATTTTATATGCTGTTGTTTTATATCAATATGAAAGTTATGCAATTTCGCATTTTGTATAAACCAACAATTCATACCAATAATTCTCATGGGCCTAATTAAAAACATGTTTATGAAAATTTAATATATATTATCTTTACAATACAAGCAGTTTGCAAAAGAATCATTTTAATAATGGCACTGATGTAATCAATTATACAAATATTCTTGCAACGATCGTGCTCCGTAGGGAGGTGCTGCGGCTGTCCGATGGGGGCCAGGTGGCGCTGGACTGGCTGGTGGATGAGGGCGCCGAAGGCAGCGGCTGCGGGGAGGAGCGGGCCGTGATGCTGGTGCTGCCCGGGCTGACGGGCGGCGCGCAGGCGGACTACGTGCGCTGCCTCGCCGCCGCCGCGAGCTCCCTGCGCGCCTCGCTGGTGGTGTTCAACAACCGCGGGCTGGGCGGGCTGCCGCTCACCACGCCGCGGCTCTACTCCGCCGTTAGCCACGAGGTGCGCCCCGCCGACCGCTGCGGCGAACGCCGGCCGCGGCGGACGGCACGGTGAGGTGTTGACGAGCGCGCCTTGGTGCGTGGCAGGACGTGGCGGAGGTGGTGGCGGCGGTGGCGGCGCGCGGGGCGCCGGTGCTGGCGGCGGGCGTGTCGCTGGGCGGGCTGCTGCTCGGCCGCTACCTGGCGGAGAGCGGCGCGCGCGCACAGGTGCACGCCGCGCTCATCGTGTCCTCGCCGCTGGACGTGGAGCAAGGTGGGCGAGGGCGAGGGCGATTTGCGATCTTTTGGAGGCGATAACCCCTCCGTCCCGCGGCGGTAACGGGCTCGCTGCGGCGCAGGCTCGCGGTGCATGGAGCGGTGGGGCCTGAACGCGGCGCTGTCGTGGCACATGGCGCGGCGCCTGCGCGGCACGGTGCGCGCGCGGCTGCCGGCGTGCGCGGCGCGCGTGCGCGGTTGCCGCTCCGTGCGCGCCTTCGACGCCGCCTTCACGGCGCCGCACTTCGGGTTCGCGTCGCCGGACGCCTACTACAGCGCCGCCTCGCTGCGGCCGCGCCTCGGCCTCGTGGCGCGCCCGCTGCTCTGCCTCTGCGCCGCCGACGACCCCTTCCAGCCGCTGCACGGTGAGCGTCGCCCCCGCCCCGCCCCGCCCCGCCCCCCCTTTGACGCCCGCTCTAACGCCCGCGCGGCCGCAGTGCTGCCGGTGCGCGAGGCGGCGAGCAGCGCGTGCGTGGCGCTGTGCGTGACTGCGCGCGGCGGCCACATCGGCTTCCTGGAGGGGCTGTGGCCCGCCAGGCCGGCGCCGGCCCAGTACTTGGCGCGCTTCGCCGCGCAGTACTTCGCCGCGCTGCTGCCCCGCCGCCCCGCAACCCCCGCAACCCCCGCACCTCAAACACCTCCAACACCTCCGCCGCAAACGCAATAACCACTACGATCTTAAGCCGCACAACTCATTTCTCGTGCCCCTCTTATGAAGTAAAAAACATTTTGCTGGATGTAAATGATTTAACGCAGAATTAAGTAATAAATAAAGCAAAGATAGCGGTGTTTACTAGCTAAATTCCACTCTTGAACACATATATAATGAATGAAAGAACAATAGTCATGTTTCCGTGAAAGTTATGACGGTATGCTTGCATTTTAAAAATCGAAGTATTGAAAAATGTGATCATTAAATGAAAAACAAAACGTTTTTAGTTTTAAGTTCCAACTGTTTGGTCATTAGTGTGACATAAATATAAGTAGGATCGCGTCTGAATCTGTCGTATAGTCGTGAAGATCGAGTGATCTGCAGATGCCTGTGGGAAAGACTCTCTGGTAGGAACGCGTCGAATGATTTGGGCCCGCGCGCCATTGCTATTGCAACGCGTCCTGGGCGCTCGTACTCGACTACTAATACTCGTATACGGATACTGAAGCTCGCACGGCTCTAACTGAAGTATTGCGATCATATGGAGATTAGCAAATATCAACGTGGACAATTCAATTGAGTCTGTGATGTGTTATTCATTAAATATTTTAAACTTGTTCCTTCTATTACTGTTATTTTGTCTCTGACACAGACACCTCTATGAGATTGTTTTTATAATATTCAGAGCACAAAAACGAGAATGTTATCGGTTTAAAGATTTGTTTTTTTAAGACTTATTGTAAGGGTTAGATTTAATCCGTTCTGTTTCGCAGTATTGTTACTTTTGGCAGAAATGTTTATGAACAAATGGGTGCTTCAAGGGTATATTCTGTATCAGCTAGGTAATTTATGAAATTATTGTATCAGATAGGTTTTATTAGATTATGTATTTTATATTGGGATAATAACATTATCTACTGTATTTACAAATTGTCGTCCAAAAGAGATAATAATATACACTTGTCTGTGATGTCGGAGCACGCCGCCGCCGCCCGCACATATCCGCCATTTTGTATGGTTTGTACGGACTAAAATAAACGCATCGAATAGGAACGGCTGTTTGATTACACCCACATCCTTATTAACAATACCATTACTGTTATAATGTAATGAAAATATCAACCAATGAAAAGTAACTAGCTATGATAATATTATTAATATTAATTTATAACAAAATTTATTTATGCAATCAATAAACAAAGAAAACTTTATTATAATCACATTTATAAAATTGGAAGAGATAAGGAACAATGTTGTAGGTTACCCTGTTCCAGAAGTCAGTGCCCTCCACAGCTCTGCATGTATATCTAAACCTTTCAAAAAAAAAAAATTCACAATTTTAAGCTATTTCAAATATAATGTAAGTAAGAAATTCTTTAATATGTAATTCTTATTTCATGGTTTGTTCCGTTGCTTTGTTAATTAAGTTTGATCATGCATTAGTTATATGATTTTTCATTCTGTAAGTATTAAACTTACGCTTGACTTCACGTCGGGTGGACCTGCCACGGCCTCCCGGACCAGAACACCGGCGTGAAGGGAAACCATTTTGTTTGATGAATGAGGTAGCCAGGGCGCATTTTATTAATGTATTTATGTTTGCAACGCATTTAAAACCCGTCAGGTGTTGTAGATGTCCATGGACGTAAACACTTAACGTCAGATGAACCGCCTGCTCGTTTGCCTACTTCACAAATTTGCTTTTAGTCAACTGGAGAAGTAAAACTTTATATGTGCCTACATAAGTGTACATATTTTTTTTCTCCATCTGGATATTGGGGTTATTTTAGTCACTTCTTATTTTTTCTATTATTTCTATATAATTCGAAGAACTGATTATCACCATAGAGAATTTTATAATAAAAAAAATGCAACAACAATAGAGACATATAATGGTATAGAAACATTATTATCGTAACGAAAGAAAAATAACTAAAAATTTAACAACAAACAACGGTTGTGCACACTAGGAAGGTTTATAAATAAAACTACACTGTGTACTGATCTGTTGCTGGTTATATTGATCTAATATTTTTGGTGACCTTATTTCCTCCCAAGTGACAAACGATAGCGTGCTCTATATAGATCGCAGCGCCTTCAAGTGTTGGGCGGAGAAATTAAAGCTTCATACAATACGTAAATATGAAAAAGCTTGTTATCGGTTGCTATGGTAATACCTTGATGACCTTGAAGTTGGTCGACGTTGGTCACTTTGCAACCAATTTTACCATGTCATCATGCTTTTTGGCTGACGACGTAGGTGCATCGTAAAAATTTTGCTCTCATAATTTATTTAAAGCTCCAAAACAAATATTATAACTTCAAAAATAATATAAAGGGGTATTAAATGATAAAATTACAGCAGAAAAACTATTTTTCAATAGATTTATTTCAGTTCTAAAAATGATACGGTATGCCAAAATGGTTTCGAGATTACGGTAGCTGATGACATATCGTTCTTACATATATATTAGTATATCGCTCGAGGCTTTTAGCAAGGGCAGTTCGCGCGGGGATGTTCCTGGACGCGGCTCAGCATGCGTCCAGGTCGTGGCCGAGCGCGCGGCAGAAGGCGGCCACCAGCTGCGAGGCGCGCTCGAGGCGCAGCCCGTCGTGCTGCTCGGCGAGCCGCGCGCCGCGCGCCGCGCCCAGCGCCGCCAGCGCGCCCAGCGCCTCTGCGAACGCCTCGGCGCGCTCCACCGCCCCCTCCTCGCCCTCCTCGCCCTCGCCCTCGCCCTCGCCCCCCGACGACTCGCAGTCGTCTGCGGGCGGCGAGGGCACACCTGGCCCGGCCGGAGGGGCGCCGCGCCGCCGCAGCGAGGGCCACACGTGCGCGTGCAGCGCGGCCCTCGCCCTCGCGACGCCCCGCTCCTCCCCCTCCGCCTCCGCCGCACCCTCGCCCCGCAGCGCCACCACCTCGTAACGGGCGCGCACCCCCCAAGAGACGAGGCTCTCTGTCGACACATCATGAGCCACTTATCGACGGAAAGTGAATCACTTCGATGGGACATCTATTAGTGCGTAGAATTTCATGAAGAAAATTTCATTTTCCCTAATACTACCTTCGTTCTGCAAAATGCAATGAACCACCCAGGGGTTGCACTTTACAGAATGAAGAGAACAGGTTGTCATATAGGCTATACTACTTGTTTTTTAGTATTTGTTGTTATAGCGGAAACAGAAATACATCATCTGTGAAAATTTCAACTGTGCTATATTATATGTAGACTTAAATTTGTTTCGTACTTTAATGCATACTAGTGTAAATACCAGTAATTTCTGCTGATTCCACAAGTGCAAGGTGCACTGCTCCTCGACGCAGCACGCTTGATGTAAGAACCCTGCGTGCCTCTGCCACTTCAGCACCCTAAGTTAAATAAATCTCACCTATTTACATTAAATTACAAGATAATTTTCCTCCATTGGAAGTAAACAATTATATCCAAAAAGGTAGTGGCCTCAAAATTTGAAACTGAAAAATATTTGAACTTGTGTAAACAGATTACAGATAAATGAAATTTATGTTTTAAATTTGATTTTAGGTTAAAAAGGTTTCAAGTAAGGACATGATAATATCAACTACTTACCTCATTTTCGGTTAAATAAATAACATGAGCTTCAGCTTCAATATCCGAGAATTCCTCTCCATCTATCAAGGGTAGTACTCGTACTAGTGCTGTGTAATATTTGTTTATAAGCTGCCATACTCTAGAACCCGCCTCTTTATATTTATCGTCTTTTATTTCATTGTCAATTAACTCTGTAATTATTGCAATTAATTTCACCAGGTGGTATCAATTGATCCATTTGTAGTATTCATATACTTACAATAAGAAAGTAACAAAAATCTGATCAGTGAGTACCTGATATTATTCTTGACGCTGTGGAATTATCAGTTGCACTTACTAATATAACTGGTAACGTAATTGGCGACATCTTATATATAAGCAATAAATATTTAAGACATGTTCTTTAGTTAGAGAAAACCAAAATACATAAACGTTTAAATATTGTTTCGAATAAATGACAGTACGAATTCTTCTTCTTCTTCTTAATAATGGCTTGCTTTGTGAGGACAGTACGAATGAAATTAATAAATGAGTGATAATGTCAATGTCAACTCAAATGTCATAATGGTCATAAATAATAGAATATATTGTACCATAAATATGCGTAAACAACTCTAGTTAGTCTGTGTATTGTACTGTGAGGCGCACGTATTACCTGTTATCTCGGCGGGTTTGGAAGTTTTTGTATAGTCTGTAGTAGAGATGTGTAAGTAATGCCGATGATATCACTCGAGTAATAATATTTAGCAATGTCATACTGCATTACCCATTACACGAGTATGGCGAGCATCACTTTTTGTGATGCATTACTTCGCGTTCCGCGATCGCCGAATACGAAAAGGATGTCATGCGTGTGCGAGCGAGATGATCGTGCGCTTCGGGCGGCATCACATTGCGCGCCTTCGCTTTAGTCGGATAATATTTTACATTACTTTCAATAAAATCGCGACCGTAATGTAATATAAATAAGATTTACGACGACGTTACTAACAAAATGTGTGCATTCCCCGCGCAAATATGAATGTCATGCTGTAATACAAAAACAAGCTAATATTGCATGCTATTACGGTTGAAATTAATTTTTGACGATATTTTGAAATTTGTCTTCAGATAGTTCAACGTTAATTTGTTTGGGTAAACTGATAATCATTGACGAACAGATTTTTATTGATATTAGCTTTCGCCATCGCCTTTGTCCTTCTGTATTTTTAACTAGGTATAAGAGTTCTAACGTTTTTACCTTGATCCTAATATTTTAACTATTACTGAACTTGAATATTAACAACTATTATAACGACAAGCAGCAATAGTGGTTATATCACCGTCCGGGTACGCAGTCGAAATCCAAGTGACCATTGCTCCATGCGACCATGTGTCCCTTAGCTCGAGTAGAAAACGTCATATCCGGTAAACAGTGTTGTCAGCGCCAACATTCGGCCGTCCTGCATCACGCCTTCGTCCTCGAAGGGCGTTGTAGTCTGGTACAAGTAACCTTCATAAAATTAACACCTTACCCTGTGGCTTATCCCTCAACTGGGGTGCATATCGCCACGTTCAAAACACTTATCCTGTGGCTTATCCCTCACAACTGGGATGCATGTCGCCACGTTCAAAACACTTATCCTGTAGCTTATCCCTCACAACTGGGATGCATATCGCCAAGTTCAAAACACTTACGCTGTGGCTTATCCCCCACAACTGGGATGCATATCGCCACGTTCAAGCCTTAAATTGTCCAACTACTAAATGCTCGGTAGCTTAACGGGTTAAACCAGTTGTGTATCGCTATTTAACATTTTCTCAAATATGTTTAAGTAATTAATTAACTGGAAGGTACTCACCAAAACTTTCGTTACATTTAACTAAAAGATTTTATCACCATTACGTATAGTAGCTATAAAAACACACTGTTTTATTTTACGAGGGTAGGTACCCAAGGAGAAAATATGTCGCCGATTGTTTGAATAGCCAAACGCGAGTTTTCGTATTGTATCCCACTTCTGATATAAGAGTTCTAACGTTTTTACCTTGATCCTAATATTTTAACTAATACTGAACTTGAATATTAACAACTATTATAACGACAAGCAGCAATAGTGGTTATATAGGCTATTTTGAATATAACGTTTAATTATTAAACACGGAATAATTGTATAATAAATAATAAGTTGCGAAATTACCTTTATTTTTAATATTTACATTTAGAATATCATATACTTATTACATTTAAATAAAGTTTACAATACGCTTTAATCCTTAAGTACGTAATAGTAATGAAATTAAAATCATACTATGCTTTAGTCCAGTATGTTACTGTAATGCCGTCGCAACATCATCATCACAGTATAGACCTACATAGACCTACTGCGTAATGTAATAAGTAATGTAATGCGTAATGCTTTTGAGTGATATTACTTCGATGAGTCACATTACTTTTTGAAGCACTGTTTTGCGCATCTCTAGTCTGTAGCAAAGAATACTTTTATATATCTGAAATATATATAATCTTTATGGCCTGTAGTGTACTTCTTCTTTTTTCCTTTTTTGGCCGTTTACTATTAAGTTTATTTCTCAACCACTGTCAATTATTAAATGTTCAACAAGCTAATGTTAAAGTAACTCTGCATGCATGATTTTGCAAGATTTTTAGATTAATTAGGTTAAGGGTTTTAACCACAAATAATTATAGCCTAATATTACTAGCTAGCACTTCGGTGTTAGTCCGGGGGGTTTGAACAGTCGTATAGGAGATTTGATAAGTTAATTTGATCGTCCTAGGCCCTAGGCCATATGTAACATAGTTGCCCCTACGTGCTGTAAAGTACAAAAAATTAAGCGAAGTAACATAAAATTAAAACAAAAGAAAAACGAATGTCAGTACATGATATCTGATCATGATGCCGAAGAATGAAACATACTCACTGTACTACCAATGTATGCTATGTCGCCATTTAGGCTACTCAGAACGAGAATCAGTGATGAAAAAATTAAAATGGTGACTGGTCGCCTATTGGCTACTTCAGAGGCAAGCTATTTAAATTACTATGTATTAAATAGTAGATAGCCAAATCACAATAAAATTATATATAGCCACCCTATTGGTTTATGGTTAGTTATTATCATGGAATACGAGGAATTTGGCTTAGCTTATATTTTACGATATCATTTCGCTATTAATACATTTATTGCTGGGAGAAGAAGCAGAATCTAAATAATTTTAGGTAAGGTAAATACCACCAAATAAGCTTTTATGGTTTTTTTTTAAAGTGAAAATAATTCACTTAATTTAAATTACGCTTTATATACCTATTTTATACCGCAAAATTTGTTGTTAGGACTACTTAAGGACTACTTAAGGAACTGTTTGGCTACATTAGGTTACTTATGCCGGAAAAAATTGGCGACATCAGGCTCTACATTGTTGGCAACACTGGCTGTATGGTACAGATTGTCAATAGCAAAAGCTCTTTGAGTAAAAGTGTTCTGTGGTCAATAGTCCGTCGTTCGTTGTCAATGTCATGTCATGTTATTTTCTTAAATTAATGGATGATACCTCAGATTTGAGAAAAATATTTTGAAATTTTCATGAAGTACTTTTTCACATAATATTATTTTTCTTACTATCTCTTATTATATTGTAAACAATCTTGTAATCCAACGTTATGGTGTTTTAAAATTGGCGTGCAATCCCAAGCGATATATTGCCATCATGAATAACATAATATCATGGACCGCTGAAGACGAAGCCATCATTGCAACTAATACCGATGCAACAGAATGCAAGCGGTGTGCTGTTGATTTAGGGTATTGGAAAGATGATTACATTATATATTTTGCAAAACATGTTGATAGAAAGGCACCCGAAATCAATCGAGGCTACTATGCCAGAGTGAAGGCTATGGAAATGTTTATACATCAGTTTTTGGAGGTGTGCATTTATAAAACAAGATATAGTAAAGGTGTAGATTAGCGGCACAAGTTTTTTTCTCCAAAAAACCTGTGTCGCCAATCTGCACCTTTACACAAGATGTCGTTATGCCTAGAATTTAAAACATCTAAATTTAACAAAATTAATTCTACATTTCTTCTTGTTTAATAGCGGTGCGGAACTAAATGCCAAATAATTAATTTAGGATGTGGTTTTGACACTCTTTACTGGAGATTAAAAGATACAACACAAGCAGTTGGAAATTTTATTGAATTAGATTTCCCATCAGTTACTGCAAAGAAGTGTCATATTATCAAAAGGAATAAACAACTACTTGAAAAAATTTGTAATGAAGGTAAGAATAGCAACATCTAAAAAATTAACATTATTTCCCAAAACACAAAATTATTTCACTTTTTTGTTGTTTTAAAATATCTTTTTTAATATAAGCTGCAACATGCTTACTGTTGTTACTGTCCTTGGGCCGCAGTCCTTTTTTACAGGTCCCTGTTTGAACAAAAGAGGAAAACTTTGTATATTTATTTCCAGTTGAATGAGGCAGTATAAAGTATTTTTCTTCTTTGTCATTCCTTATTTGTAAGGATTATGACCATAGAAAATTTGTCTCCATTTGAATAAAGTATAAGTTTATTTAAATAATGCAAACAGCAAAAACTTTGGTAGATTTTTATATTGTGGAAACATTTTTTTTGCATTTATCATAATTTTTAATTGACAAGAAACATATCTGCACATGAGGCAGTCATATTTGGAAACACTCTTAATACTTAATTTGGAAAAATTATATTCTCTCCAGATTTAAGTTTTTTTGATTTTATAAGTTGAAGTGGAAATGGCATGGCCATTGCACAAAGAACTGATGATCCCTAGAGACGAGTGGCAACTACAAATCAAAAGATGTAGCATTTGAAGGCCTCCATTTAAATGGAATGACAACATCTTTATAATATAAAAATATATTATAAAAAATACCCAACCAATTAACTTTTTTTTTTATTGATCTAATATTTACAAGATTAAATTTATCTAAAATTACATATTATCTAATAAACCTAATCCACACGGTATGGTGCCAAGAACGCTAGCTGCATTTCCTCGCTGAATAGTTATGCTTAATCTTTGAGCCAGAAAAGAACCAGCTCTCTTGTCACCAGCCGCGGCGTTAAGCCTAGGCTTAAAAAAGCCCATAAACTTTTAAAAAAATTTGATGTGCAGGGACCCCACGGACCTAAAGTTTCAACAGCAAATGGCACAAATACATAATTAACTTTGAAAATTAAAAACAATCTCTCAAACTCAGTATGGTTTGAATACAACTGAGCTTATACATGTTCACAAATGAATTAATTGTTTTTTCACATACATTATTAGACAGTTGAAATATCTCTATCTCTATCTGCGGGGGTAACTTTTCACTTGATATTATGCTAGTGTTATGAGATGTCATGTCATCGACCCAGCATATCATAACAGTATCTATAGACATATTGACTTGTGTATCAACTGTGGTAGGGCTACGCAATATTGTTCGCCATTGCACGAATGGGCAGGTCTGTCCGGATAAGTACCACGATCTCATAGATGACTTCCGCGTTTCGTCCGGTGAGTGAGGTGGCCGGAGCCCACTTTGTTAAAAGTAGCTTCCGTACGAAAGATATTGAGCGCAAGGCGCGACGGTGCGGGCAGACGGGGAGGTGGTGATCCGGTCGGGCGACCTGCACTCGGACGGGTACCACCTGCTGGGCTGCGACCTACGCTGCCTGGGCGAGGTGCGGCGCAAGCTGGCGGCGGGCGGCGCGGCGGCCGAGGCGCCCACGCTGCTGCTGGCCGAGTGCGTGCTGGTGTACTTGCGGCCGGACGCGGCGCAGGCGCTGCTGGAGCACCTGGCCGCCGCCTTCCCGCGCTGCGTGCTGCTGATGTACGAGCAGTGCAACCTGGGCGACAAGTTCGGCGAGATGATGGTGCGCAACCTGAGCGCGCGCGGCTGCGCGCTGGCGGGGGAGCGCCACTGCCGCGCGCCGGCCGCGCAGGCCGAGCGGCTGCGGCGGCTGGGCTTCGAGGCGGCGCGCAGCTGGGACATGGACACCGTGTGGCGCGCGCTGCCCGACGACGACCGCGCGCGCGTCGAGGCGCTCGAGATGCTGGACGAGCGCGAGCTGCTGCAGCAGCTCAACGCGCACTACGCGCTCACCGTGGCCACGCGCGGCGACCTCTTCGCCGACCTCGACCTCAACGCCTAGGCCCGGTGTGCTCTTCGCACTTAGAACCTAGTTTCATTCGTATATACGCTATAGCGGTAAATTTGCGTTGCATGCGTTTCGACAGTTATACTCGTTCAACAGAGGGTCGTAACACTCATTGGAGTGATTACTTACATGAATATTATTAATAATGGTACATTTGTGGTCTATATAGTAAAAGTTGATTGGTTTAAAAATATTTTTCGAAAATTGTTTTTCCCAAGTTGTACGTTGTATCCAATGGCATACTTAAAGTTGATTCTATGTTTATTTTTTTTAACATTGCGTATTTTTTACAAAGGCAATGTGCGTTTGATATCGGTTTGTTTAATTGTGGCCCGAGAGTAACAGTAGTGCGAGCGAAGTACAGGCGAGGTCTGTATCAGGTTGATGTTTATACTTAGCCGTTTCATCATTACTACATAAGTGTTAAATATTTATTTATGATATAAATGCTGTATTAACTCTAAACATTCAGAATGTTATTTGTTACCTTTTCCCACACACTCCTACTTACTTCGACGATTCCTAAAAATAAATACGAGACTAAACGTAGACGCTTAATGAACTGGGTACGTTTGTTATTTTGTCTTACATTTTTTTTCAGCACTGACAAGATTCAAGAAAAATTAAATATTTTAATAAAACAATATAAGACTTGTCAAAAATTTTAAATAATGAAATTGATAAGTTGGTTTATTATCTGATAAATTGTTCATCAACTGTTGCGTTCTACGTTCAACAAATACAATAATAATGTTTCGTTGTGATTATTTATAAAAATAAAAAATCAACAAAAGTTAAATGGTAAATTAAAAAAAAAATACCTACAAAAAAGAAAATCACCAAAAAATATAACAAAGAAATCTAGGGGTTTGAACCCAATCCCTGTACAATGATGGTCCTTTACACTGTATGTATAGGACTGATAAACTTAAAGACACAAGATAAGAAATTAAAACTACGCTTTAGTTGTTAATACATACAAATAATTAAAAATACGAAACATATATTTTTTAGTTTCGTGTTTTCGAAAGATCTAATGAAATTAAATATAATTAAGGAACATATTTCGTAACGGTGAACGGAAGACGAGCGGCATAGGTCCATCTAGCAAAGCGCCTCAGCGCTCTCGTGGCGCTCTGTTCAATCAACGTGTGGAATTGGTAGAGAACCGAAACAACGCCGCGGTGGCGCGGTGTTTTGGTCGTCGCGTTCGAATTAAATTGAATGAATTAAATTAATATTATAAATATCTTACTTCAATCAACTGATTTAGACAAAAATCCTTGTTATTAAAACATTCTAGACTTATACGAATTTCATTAATATTTGTTGATTTTTGGATTAGAATTTCTCTTTTAGAGGTAGTTTCACGATTTTTTTCTATCGAGAAAATATATGAAGAATATGTTTTGAAAACAATGTTCAATTAGAATGTAAGATCAAGATTAACATATATTTTTTGCTGATATAAAATGTGTAGATATTGTTAAAAAATCTTGTGAAAAACCTATTTTTACTGCATAACACCTAGAAAGCCATCAGGTACTATAGTACCAAGAAAATAAAATTATGTAAACCGCCACTAGGGAACCATGGTACCTACACGACACAGTGTAAACAAACTCCGTATATTATCAAATAGGTAGAGCGTTTTGATTATAAAAATTGCTTCATAGAGACGTTCTTTAACTTTAACTTGACGAAATTATTTTTTTAACTTGACTTTTTAACTTTACTTTCTTTAACTTGACGAAATTATTCATCGACATAAATTTATCTGGCCACAAATTTTAAGCAGAATGCCATAAAAAAAATTTTAAAAGTTTATATAAAATTAAAAAAAGTTTATACATAGTTGACTTAATAAAATATGTCGTAAGTAGATATGATACTATTATACATATAAATGATCGTGAAGAATAATGCTACAGTATTTATATAGTTAAATAGTTTTAGCATTCAAAAGTTGTAATATTTCAGTTGGAACGATGGCTGCAGGTTGATATGTCAAATACAACGAAATGTGTCTTTTAACCCAAACTGTGTGAAAATGAAAGAATAGTTCATAATTAGTATATCAATATACTTTTGTATATAAATTCAAGTGTTTTCGATAAAAATATACAACTTGAACAATTGTGTTCAATACTGGGCGCCTGCTGTTGTAAATGTAAGATGTAAATGGACTTTGACAACAGCGGCGGATTCCATGACAACATCGCGGGTTGTCATGGTATCTGCCATAGTTACTAATATAATAAGGGTTTGTACGGATTAATAAACGATCTAAATATTCATTAAATTCAATTGTGGTGTGTTAACATTTATTTTAGTGAAAGCAACGTCGAAGAAAGTTGCGGGCATGGTCGTGCAAGATGTCGTGGTGGTGCCGTGACCTCTGAAGAGTCTTTATTTTGTTTTATTATTATTCTTATTTATTTTTTTATGTCAGAAGGTGGCAAAAAAGCTGGCGGTTTACCTGATGTTGAGTGAACACCGCCGCCCATAGACATTTGCAACACCAGCGGGATTGCAGATGCGTTACCACGCGTTAAAAATAAAAGTGGGCCCCGGCTCACTCTCCATGCGAAACGCAAAAGTATTACAGTTCCACAGCCACTTCAAGCCGGTCTTCTGTGAGGTTGCGGTACTTCCCGAACGGACCTGAGCATTCGTACAACTGTGACGACTGTTGCGTGGTCGTACCACAGTAAAAACTTATAGACGAAACATATGATTTTTCATGATTATTTTTTATTTCAGTAATAGGTTAAGTCAAATCCGTGCTGAAAGGCAAATCGTTGTCGCCTTCCGTCAAGAAAGAGCTGTTGCAGAAAAAAAGAATGTAAAAAGAAATTATTAATGTTATTAATTTTAAGTTTAAAATATCTAATAACAAGTGAAATTTTGTAAATAGCCATTAAAAATTATTCTGAAAAATATGTTGTTTAATTTTCAATTTTTGTTTGAACGAGACCTTAAATGGCTGTCATCTTCACTCTAACTAACCAAAGAGTACTTTTATATATCTCCTAGACACGCAAGGTCGCATCTTATATAGCGGGGAGTAGCTCATTTCTTCTAAGTTTTTCTTCATGTTGGTAAATAAGTTTTAAAATGTTTCTGGTATTGTTGGAAAGGATATTTAATTTAGTCTATTTTAATATTGTTAAAAGGGATGTAAAGTTAAAGGGTTTTTGTCAAATAAATGTTTTATTAAGAGATATCAGTTTTTCAAGTTTAATACATTTTTTAAAATTGCAAATTAAAATTATAACTCTTGATTTATAGATAATTAGATTGCTTAGTTATTCAGCTTATTGACTGTATTTCGTTTTTTGGGATAGTATTTGTAGTTTACGAATGGCAAGCGTTTTTATTGGCAAAGTCGGTAGCGGTTTAGTGCCATTTTATTTCCTGCGCTGACGCTGGCGCCTGACACCGATTTGTCAACGCGTGGCGCTGGCGTGCCAGTGGATTAAGCGCCTTAAGCGCTGGAACCACATAAGTAACAAAACTGTTTATTAACAGTTTTCTTACATAAAAATTAACCTTAGATTTTGAGGTTTTTATGTTTTCTTTTTCTCCTTGTTATTTTTTTCCATCATTTTATTTATAAATAAAAAGTAATTATAATATAAGAATTTAAGAGTATAAGGTAAGCAATGCAATGCCTATTTGGGATGAATTAATCCCTCTATATTAATGTTTGGCACAAAATCAAAATAATACCGAAATAAATAAAAAAAAAAAAATAGACCGACTGAATAACCTCGTTCAAATGGATACAGATTATGTGATACAATAGATCTTATCTACTGCATAGATTATGATTCTTGGTTATTTTAAAGTTGACTAGCTGTGTTCGCGACTTTGTGCGTGTGGAATTTAAAATAAAGAAAATTAGCCTAAGTTATTCCTTATTATATCAGTTATCTGTCAGTGAGTCCTATAAAATCGGTCAAGCTGTTTAAGAGATTATCTGGAACAAACAGACAGACCAAAATTGTATAAAATTTTATTTCAATATTACAACAAATAGGAAGTCTATTAAATTTATTTATTTGTATGGATTTACAGATTAGTTTAAGTCTTATACTAAGGGATCAAAGATAATTCAATATAAGATGAAATAAAACGAATCGAAGCGACAGTTTAGCTCTTATGTATTATGTTAAAACGTTGAGACACGAAGAGGGGGCGGGGAGTGAGGGGAGTTAGAGGTGGGGCGTGCAGGCGGCGATGGCCCTGCGCAGCGCCTGGCGCACGTGGGCGCGGCCCTCGCAGAACACGTGCGTGGCGTGGCGCTCCACGTGCAGCAGCGTGTCGTGGCGCGGCAGGTGCACGATGCAGCCGTCGGCGCCCGCCTCGAGGCGCGCGTCGCCCAGGCCCTCGCGCGCCAGCTCGCGCAGCAGCGCCGCCACGTCGGGCGCGCCCGCCGCCACCGCGCCGCCGCTGGTGGCACCCGCCTCGGGCGCCACCAGCTCCAGGCGCGCGTCGCGCAGCACCAGCGCCGCCGCCAGCGGCGCGCCGCGCAGCCCGCCGCGCAGCTCGCGGGGCAGCGCGCGCGCCGCCAGCGCGCCGCCGCACAGCAGGCCGCGCGCCGCGCGCCGCCGCACGCCCAGGCGCCGCGCCGCGCCGCGGCGCGGCGCACCACCGCCACCGGCCCCTCGCACACCACGTGCGGCCGCCCCGCGCCCGCCGCGCCCCCGCCGCCCCCGCTCGGCGCCGCGTACTGCTCGGGCAGCGCCAGCTCGCGCGGCCGCAGCTCGCGCACCAGCTTGTTGGCCTGCGCGTAGTTGAGCGACGTGTCGATGGGGCAGTGGAACGCCTTCATGCTCAGCGGCTGGAACGGCGCCAGCGCCTCCGCGTACGGGAAGTCCGGCTCTGGGGAGCGAATGCGGCTCGTTTCCTTACTCGGCTCGCGACGTACCGACGAGAGAGAACGACGGCGGGTGAGAACAACGATCACCGGTGAATATGATGGCGTGCGCGGGGTTGTTGGCCCACAGCTCCACCAGGTGCACGGCGGCGCCGAAGCGCAGGCTCGGGTGGCCGCAGAACACCACGCACGGCTACGAAAAGGGACGCATAGCATCGTTAGGACTCCGTTTTCATTTCTAATGCTATTTGCAATCACAAAAAATCATGCTATCTATTTGCATGCCTGTTAATATACGGCTATTTGTGATTGTTCAATAAAATTTGTACGAACTGATATGTTTGTTTTGTTAAGTACTGAGAGTAACAAACGTTATCGAAATACCGGTGGCTTATTGACAAGGTGCAAAACTGGACTATATACAGTCTCGTTTGTCGCGAAAATAAGACCTATACAGTTCAGGATTTTTGACTACAACGGGGCCCGGTGGGGAGGGGCGGGCGAGAGCGTGCCTGTCGGAAGTCGGCGCTGAAGGCGTCGTCGTGCAGCGAGCGCGCGTGCCGCAGCCGGCCCTGGCGCACGAGCGCCGCGTGCGGGAAGGGCTCCTCGGGCAGGTAGACGCGCGCCTGCTTGCCGGCCGACACCCACTCGGCCAGGATGTTGCTGTAGGCCAGCGAGGAGTCGGCCACCGGCGACACCACGTAGAGCGGCACGTGCGCCAGGCCCGCGCCGTCCAGGTGCGCCGAGAGGCACTCCAGCAGATCGTAGAGCACGCCCGACGGGTACACGGGCAGCAGCACGGAGCCGCCGCCGCGCAGCGTCACCGCCGCGTGCACGCACAGGTCGCCCAGCATGTGGTCCGGGTTGTGCGCCGGCGTCTGCGTGAGCGCGGCCAGCAGCAGCACGTCGGCGCCGCGCAGCGCCGCCTGGTTGATGGGGCGCGGGTGCGTGGTGAGCGTGCTGGAGCCGCTCACGTAGGCGATCTTCTCGTGCGCCGTGCGCAGCACCCAGTTGGCCGAGCCGAGGCAGAAGCCCGAGCTGACGGGCGTGGCGTCGAGCGCGCCGTAGAGCGGCACGCGCTCGTCGTAGCCCACGACGCGCACGCGCGCCAAGGCGCGGGCCAGCGCGGCCGGCGCGTACAGGCGGCGCCAGGCGCGCGGCCGCGCGGCGTGCGCCAGCGGCGGCGGCAGCACGTGCAGCAGCTCCTTCCAGCGCCGCGCCGCCGCGCCGCCGCCGCCGCCGCCGCCGCCGCCGCCGCCGCCAGCCACGCGCACAGCTCCTCCAGGTAGAACCTGCCCGACGCCTTTTTCAATGGACCATTCCCATCATCATTACAACACGATATTCGATATTGTTTGTCTGCCGTAAAGTATAGGACAATAGATGCAAACATTGCTTCTTGTTTAAACATCTACGTGTGAATCCAAAAACAACGACGAAAAAATTTTTGATTTCCTACAAATTTTAGAGTTCATTCATTTAAAAATGGGCGAACGCAACTTAATTTTATATTGTTTTTAATTGACTAACCTTCCAATTTGTAATGTTGGTTCTGTCGCATACACTTGCCCTTTAAATCCTGTATCTTCAGTGATGAATGGTAGTGCCATCATACAAGTGTAGTTAGAGATTAGTATCACATCTAGTTGTGAAAAGTCTACCACCTTATCAAGTGGTGGACAAAATTCTGGAATACTATCTACAAATACTCTGCCACAACATTCCTTCAGCTCCTGGATATAGAGAGGAAAGATGTAATTTAACTTACATTACATTACAACAAAAGAGCATACTGCTCCTAACATTCATCTGATCTACAACAACAGATATTTATTCAAAATGTTTTTTATTTATGTGAGAAAGTAAAAAAGTAATCTAGCTGGTGTTTCACCTCAAGTTAGAGTGGTAACTGCTGCGCATGGATATTTGCAATACCCATAGGGTTGCAGATGCACTGGAACCTTTTTATAAAGCGTGCCATGGTTACCTCAGTCACCAGTTGAAACAGAAGTAAAATACTTCCACTTCACACCATTCTTGAGTGAGGGTGTGGTACTTCTCCGGACAGACCTGGCCATTTGACCAAAGGCAAAGTTTGTTGCATGACCTCACTTCTGTGAGGTCATGCAACAGACTTTCCAAAATGATAATTATAAGATTTATAAAAATAAATTTATTTGAATGTCGCCAAGAGTATATAAATTTTAATAATAGTAATAGTGTCCGACCAAATATTAGGTTTCGGTTTCAGTCGAGTTTCGGCATTAAAACTAGTTTGGCGAAACCGAAACCGAAACTGCATTCGGGAGTTATCGAGCTATGATCGGTTATGATCAGCGCATTAAATTCCATCGATGCAAGCAAGCGATGAAGACTAGCGATGGGTCGTTGAAGGTTTTTTCGTCAACGTTGATTCATGTTCATCAACTAGTTAATTCGTGAACTAGCCTATGTGATGCCAATCAATATGGATGAATGAACGGATTTTATTTGCTGCGACGTTTAACAAGTCTACATTGTCTGACAGCCGGCTAATTAATAAAAACACATTATACAATTACAAATTAATAAATTTACAAAAAAGGCACCTTAAGCATCAAGTAAAATTCTGATAATATTTATGATGTGCCGCAAAATAATCTCTGACCTTAGGTACAACTGTTCAGTGTTCACAAATTGTAAGTGAATCTTCTTTGAGAAAAGTGACTCTGAAATTGTTGTAATCTTTGACATTTTTGTTTTTGAAAGTCATAGAAAATGACTAATAAGTTTAGAAGAAGTTAATTCTTTCTTAAGAAAAAAGTAATTTATTTTGTTTTGTTTATAACTTAAATATTTAGTCTGTTCCTATTGTGATATTATGTAACAACTTAAATACGTAATTTTATGTTTAATATTTAAAATAAACATGAATAATATTCAAAAGAAGAATCTAACTACTCAAATAAACCTATTTTAAGTATTTATAAGGTGCAATTATTTTTTTTTTCTTAAATGGGGTTGTTATGTTGTTAAGTGGATTATCATACCAATAAGTGAAAATGTCGAAGACTGCATAACTATATGATGTAAAGTTATTTATTTTTCCCTTAAAACATGATCCTTTTATAGAAGTATCGGTTTTGGTTTCGGTTGTAAATACCAGTTTCGGTCGTAAATACCAGTTTCGGTCGGACACTTGATAGTAAAATAACTTAAAAGGATACATAATATATTTAAGCAAAACAATAAAATAATAATAAACAATGTTCTGAATATTTTTAAATCATGACAAAAAAATGTAATATATTCTTACTCCTTCTAAAAGTGGATCATTGACATGTGGTGGTGTGTAATTGGGAAGAGATGCAAGGCGGGTGCTGGGCACAGGCGGTAGTGGCAGGAAGTTCAGCACTGAATGTGCCGAAAGTCCACAGTCTAACATTATCATAAGTTCTTTGAATGAGAGCACAAAGCATGGCTTCGCCGCATCACTGCTCAGGCAGTACTGTAATAGATTTAAGTTTCATTTATAGTTGTACAAAATAAAAGGCTCTTTTAAAAATTAATTGCTTTCATATTATATGTTACATGTTTTCTAAAATCGTATTCTAATAACAATGTATAAAGCCTTTGAATCATTATATTTGCCGAGTGTATAAACAAAAATAGTTAAACTTTGATGATAATTTGAAATCTGTGAATCTGTATCACCGTTGCAATAAATTAAACTCACCAATTTCATTTTGAAGCTTGATGTATCACAAATAATTATATTTATCCTATTAATTTATATCTGTACACAGATATACATGTCCTATATATTAGTATTGACTGTAATTTCAGTAGAGCTATAAATAAAGTTAAATTATTAATTTGAACAAACTGTTTATTTAATTATAACTTAGGTTAGTTACAGTTACACTTCTTCTGCCAACAGAATTTGTTTTCGTTTTTGATTGGCTGCAATTTCTAATTTTTGTTTGACATATAACCAGTGCTTCCAGATCGCGAAAAAAAATTACAGTGCTGCCAGCTAAAAAATACAGTGTACTCTTTTTTACTTTTACAATAGGAAGTATTTTAATGAAACAATCTATATTTTATGTTAATTGCCTCGTTTATTTTAAAGGAATGTTTTCTTCATGTTTTATTAATGTTTGTGGTCACCCTCCACAATTTTTCATTTGTAGTCTTATTTATACAATTATACGTGTTTGGACGTATGGCCTTCGGTTTTCTTTAATACGTTTGGAGATTAAACAGTTCCGCTGTTTTTAATGTTAATTATTTCACAAAAAATTTTACTGTTAGTTAAACATCAAATAAAAATGTCTAATGTAACGTCTTATTGGCTCCTTTGCAAAAAAAAAAAAAAAAAATTCTCATTTAGATGATAATTTCTTGTATTAACGCAATTACACATTATAAACCCTTCCTTATGGTGTAATGCTCTTGTACTTCCACTGCAGAAACATACCCTAACTTTCCCTAACCGAAATGCCCTGCATTTCTCACTCATTATCGACCTATCTCTATACTACCCTTTCTTTCTAAGGTGCTTGAGTCCTGCGTTCTAAAGCAATTTTCTCTCTTTGTTCTTAGTAACAAATTGATAAGTCCCTTACAATCTGAATTTAGACCTGGCTACAGTACCACCACCGCCACCTATCTAAAAGTGACTGGCGATATTAGGACAGTTATGGAAAATACCAAAATTACTGTTTTAATAGATTTTTTGAACGGCTTTAATGCCTTCAGTCACGACATCCTACTTTCTTCATCCTACTTACTTTTTATCTTTCTGTTTTGTATTCCTTGGCATAACTATTGATGCCAAATTGCAGTGGGGCCCCCATATTAATAAACCGGCGAGTAGACTTAGGTGGGCCGCCTTTGCGGTGAAAAAAATTAGACCGTTGACTGATGTGGATACGGCTCGTCTTATATTTTAGTTATTTCCACAGTATAATGTCTTATGGCATTCTACTTTGGAGAAATGCGGCCGACATAAACACTATCTTCATCCTGCAAAAGAGAGCTATTCAAGCAGTTTATAACCTGGGCCCCAAAGAATCACTAAGGAATTTGTTTTAAGAAATAAAAATATTGACTGCAGCTTCTCAGTACATACTTGAAAATGTTAACATGTATATCTATAAAAATAAGGAGAAATTTTCAAGACATAATAATGTTCATGATATAAATACTAGGAACAAGTATAAATTAGTTCTACTCTAAACTAGATTGTGTAGAATAAGTAAATATTATGGGACAATGCGTACGCTTTTACAACAAAATCCCAGAAAACTTTCAAAATGAATCTGTTGTTAAATTCATAAAACATATATTAGACATACAGGGTGACTTTTCTAAGTGTATCCATTTTTTTTATTAAATTCTAGACATAAATGTTATATAAAAAAACGATAAATATTTAAAATCACCTTTAAGTAATTAATTACATTCATTTGAACTTATCTCAAAAAGCTCGTGATTAATACCCAACTCATTTATTTTACGCGCACTCATTCATTACTAACACGCACACAAGTTCGTGCACAGTAAAATTTAGGTATTTATGAATGGCTACCGCATTGTCAACACGTTCTGTTTTTATGGCATTTTTTTTTTGGAAAAAAAACTTTGTTTTTTATTTCAATAAACGATTATACTACCGAGTCTGAACCTCCTGTGTAAATTTGGGCACTTCTCAAAAAATCTCCCTGTATATACAGCGTGTCGTTACCATCACGACAATAAATGAACACACGTCTAACGCTACTTGCCAATAATCATAAAAAAATATTAACGTTAAACAAAATCCATAATTAAAAAAAAATATTTTTCAAACAAACTAATTAAGTAAAAAGGAAACAAAATTTGTAACATCCTATACAACTCGCGCCACAGCGTCGTATTACAAGCCTCTCCTTCTAACAGTATGTTTTGTCTCTATTAAATTCATTCAACCCATTCATATGCTTTGTGACCTTGACAAATGAACTTTACGGTACGCTTTTATAGGTAAGGATGTTCTAAAATTCTTTGTTTTGGATAATTTAATAATTCTGTAAATATTGATGTTTAAAGAATTTAAATGTTTAATACAACTTTAAAAAGTTATGCCCTATGTGTGTTCATTTATTGTCGCGATGGTAACGACACGCTGTATAATACATAGACATATATATTTATTCATAGAATTGTATATGTATAAGTTAACATCAGGTAATTTATTAGTTGAAAGAAAATCACAATACAAACTTTTTTTCATGTTAGAGTGACCAGTTGACGTATAATAAAGAACATGTTATGGTCAGCTGATTTTTTTTGATCGTGATATTGGGTTAGCAAGAATTTAACAAGTTTTAAGTTCAGAGGAAATGATTGGATACTTTTGTTTTCTTCGTGCGTTTTTTTCTTCACTACAGCCGCTCATACCCCATGGAACCGCAGCTGACATTTACGAGGCTTTATATAATGATGAATTGGTGAAACCTTACATATAATACCATAAAAAGATAATACCATTATCTCATGGGCTGGTTTCACCAGTTATTGTTTGAGGGGAAATATACCAATTTTTTCCCTGGCTAAATATACACACCGGCACAATTAGCGGAACAGAAAAAAAAGTGAGACTATGAGATAATAACGCATATATTTGACGAAAATGTAATTAGACACAAAATAACAAATTGATTAACATCTTTTAACAACGACTTTGAAAAGTCTTCGTTATTTTTTATTGAAAAATAAAGAAATTTGAAATAAGTGAAATTTTTAGATGATTATGAACCATCACAAAAAATAAAAAAAAGTAAGCATTAAATGATTTAACAATAAAATTAAAGCAAAATTAATTACGAGTGTTTCCCCCTCTTGCTCTGATTACGGTTTCCATTCGTCTGGGCATGCTACAGATTATGTTATCGATGATTTCTTGAGGCAACCGCTCCCACTTCTCAAGTAATGCGTTTCCAAGTTCATTCAGATTGTTGGGGGGTGGCATTCTGGATTTAACCCTTCTTTTTAGCAAGTCCCAGACATGCTCTATCGGATTCAATCCGGGGGAATTTGCTGGCCACTGCATCACCGGTATAGCTACGTGGCTCAGATATGCCTGTACCGATTGTGCACTATGAGCACGAGCATTCTCTTGCATTAGAATAAAGTCGTCACCAATAAATGGGGCAAATGATACAACATGTTGTTCTAAAATGTCTCTGATGTATCGATCTGCTGTCATGGTCCCTCCTGTGACTATCACTAACTCCGTGCGAGCTCCCAAACATATCCCTCCCCAAACCATAATCGAGCCGCCACCATAAGCCACTGTGTGTTCAAAATTAGACTGTATGTGGCGTTCTCCTTTGCGTGGAGATGCGGTCTTCTATTCGCTGTCTCCTATCGATCTGTTTTAAAAGAACTCTACACTCATGAGTAAAGAGAACCTGCTGCCATTCGTTCAAATCCCAATGACGATGTTCTCGCGCATAGCTTAATCGGTTTACGCGGTGACGTCTCTCAAGTTTTGGGCCTTTGGCAGGTATATACGACCCTAAACCAACTTCTTCAAATCTCCTGCGAACTGTACGCTCACTTACTCGTACTCCTCGAACGTCTTCCAGTTCATTAAGAGCTTGTACAGCCGTTAATCGCGTATTCCTACGAACTCCAAGTTGTAAAAAACTGTCATCTCGCCTCGATGTACATCTTTTTCTATCTTGACCCCTCCTCCTCACAAGAGAATTAGACGATCTGTACCGCTGGATGCTGCGCTGAATCGTTGATACTGGACAACGAAGGCAATCGATCTGTAGGTATGGCCATTTCTTCTCATTTCATCAGCCCTAATGATTTCCAGTGATGTTAAGTCAGGCATAATAAAGAGCTTTTAATAAACAAAATTGCCTATAGAATAACAAATTTATAAAAAAACATTAAGTTAAATTTTTCAAAAAAAAATTACAATTACGTAGTTATTACTCGAACAAGTTGACAAAACGTATTGTTCGGGAAAATAAAAACAAATGAATGAAAAAAGTATATGTCATCTAATTTTCTATTTTCAAATTTGACAATAAATTAAAAAAATATCATAACTGGCTAGTTCCTCAAGTAAAAGATTTTAAAATCCTGCTTTTTTTTGTGTTCCGCTAATTGTGCCGGTGTGTATATAATGAAAATAAATGCTGCATACCCTCTACTTACCCTGCTAATAAAATTGAAATCCAAAAATCAAAATTTTTATCATTGTCAATACACATTTATTCGAAATATATCATTTCGGTGCCATTGATAGAGGGTGAAAATGAAATTATTTACTGTTTCAGTTTATTATCTTGGTTTAAATATGTTCCCTGCTTAGTAAATACTCTGAAGTTTATAACGGTCGTGAGTTAAGTCGGATCATATTAAGGACAGCACTTTTACGATATTTCTATTCAGCCCATAGTTAAAAATTTTGTTAAATCAGGTTTTTTTTAAGTTGTGAAACCGCCATTACAAGTTTCGGTAAAATTTCAGCAGCCCACTACTTTTATATAGCAAAGAAAAATAAAAATTTTATGATAGAGAAACATAGATAATAATACCTAAAAAATAAATCAATAAGCAGAATTGGCTAATCACTTATAGTTTTCGAGAAAAAACATAATTAAAATTTGTTATTTTCACTAAAGAAAACCGCCATTAATACGCTAATAACATTAATTTTATACAAGTGGTAACTCACGTTTT